GAGTAAATGACCTACTCTACAGGTCATGACAGGCGGTAAAAGTTACCGATGTAACAAGGACACCATCACAAATTGTGCCCCAACCTCATGGAATGACCCTGCAACAACATTCACTCAGGCATAAGGTCAGTCAGTCAACCACAAGGTGCAAATTCCAAGTTTCTTATTAGACTTTCCATTTGCAAAGAGACTCAGCTTTGATAGAACATTTTTATAAACTTGGTGGTTAGCTACTTGAGGAAAAATCAAATGCTTGGCTGAGGTCAAATCTTTCACAACTTAGGTATTTGTCCATTTTCACTGTTTCAGTCCAAACCGAAATGACGAGACTGCAAAGTACTTACAGCGAGGAAGATTAATCTGTAATTTCTTTCGATTCAAAGCCCACCATGAACACAGTACCAGAGTTTGACACGATACCACCAACCACACTGTCTTTCTTGATGCAGAGGTGAATAGAATGTCTCTTGCCAACTATCGAGGACTACACTGCAAATGTCGCCCGTCTGGCCAGAGTGGCAACTGACAGTCGGAACCCTGCTTCTCCCCATGCAGGAGTAAATGGGATAGCTGCTGATCACTGGCGCATTGAACAGAAAAGATCTGATGCCAACACGCACACATGGCCTACCTGTCTGTTTTAGTCCCTCTAGGAGAGGCTAGCACTCCTTTCACCATATGGGTCTTCTGCAGCTTGGTACAGTAGCCCTGCATGCCCTGTACAGCTGTCACTATCTGCAAGAGCATGGTGGCGACAGTCACATTCAGTCTTTGATATAAACAGTGCCATAGCCCTACACACTAATTGGCTACAAAGTGAGGACAGATCCAATTCGCTAACCAGGTATGAGTGCCAGGAATCTTTCTGAACCCTCCAAAATTCTGTACAGGAAACCGTGAGCATGATGTGTCTACATTAACACTGAAGAAGCATCGGGTTAAGTAACAATGGCTGGATTTCTGCTTGTTCCTTCCTCTATCTTGGAAAAACCTCTAAAACCTCACAGTGGATTTTGAAGGATCTCAGGAGGATACGGTTAAGAAAGACTCTCTGTACATTGTGGTGAAGGAAGAACTGAGGGAAAATACACTACCGGACATGCCATCACTGCGAGCACTACGGGTCGGTTACATTACACTGGAAGTGATACTCTGGGACCTGAGATATATATTTTGTTGAGTTATTCAAAGTCAATCAGTGAAATCAAGAAGGCACTGTCTACAATTTTCACACTTCTTTCAAACAGCGTACCGTTCACCATGTTGAAATTTCAACAGGCTAATTTATTCGGCACTGTTCAAAAGTTTCAGCTTTTGCTGCGATTGGGAGAGGAAACGGGACTAATGGATTGCAGGAAAAACAATGTCCTTAGTGGTTTACAGCTGATGTGTCCTTTACTGACCAAATAAAAGCGGCCGAAAAAGTGTACGTTTAACAAACCTTTTCTGTGCAGGCTTTCATATCTGAGATGGTGTCGGCAGCATCAATAAGGTCACGGTAGCGTTCCCTAAAAAAAATGACCAACAAGGGGTTTTCTTCCATAAAATGCTCAAAATCCATACAGCGGTGATTCCTTCACACATACACAATAGCTACTTTGTTGCACTAGAGCAATCTTCAGTAGTTACTGGATTCCTGATCTTCCCAACATAAAAACTCTGTTCAGTGCCTCCCGAGAGCTTGTAAGATACATGCGCATAATTTGCGGCACAATAAGGGATGCAGACGCTTATCAGTGTACGACTTGGTGAGGAGCTGTGAATATGCAGTGTCCAGAAGGAAAATGGGTTAATATCTACTGCCTTTAATTCTTGGGATCTTGGTATGCCCCTGCATATGTAGCTCAAGACACAGAAATGGAGGGTGATAATGTGGTGTTTAGAGGAATACCCATCATTAACCCTAACGCCCAAGGCCCTAGGGAGCAACCCAACAAAATCCAACAGGTTCATATACTTGTGTATGTACTTGTACAAGCAGGTCACTGTACCAAGCCTGGTCAACTCCAACAGAATGCCTCTGTTGGAGTTTGAGTGATATGGTACCGATGGGTCTATGGATGACTTGCATTGCAGCAGTACCGAACCTGACAAAATCAAGCATAGTCCAACACTTGGTACAGCTGCACACACACGTGACCCCCGTGTGACTCAACTCACACAAAATCCAACACCATCACTCTGGGCCTTTGATACCAAGTCCAACAAAATTCAACAAGAAGTTCATCGGGTATGGTACCCAAACCTGGCCAAACCTGCTGTTGGGAGTTTGACGGATACTGGGCAGTTAGGATTAATACCTGCTCCCTTTGACACTTACCCCACCATTTGCCTCAAGTCCTCCTTCTTCTTCTCAATCTCCGCCCTTCACAGGTATGAGAAAAAATTACCAACAATTAAGTGCTACACACATATACACATTGTAAATACAAAAACTACCAATACCTGACTCTACAAAAATGCTATCTTGAATTATATGATTCACAGAGATACAATTTTTTTTTGGGGGGGGGTAATTTTACAGTCCTGCAGATTGCTTCATTCAAACACAATCCACAGAGACCTACTTTGGATTTGAAAGAAATTGTTAAATCAAGATTGACAAGCAAGTTCTGAAGTTGAGTAATCTTAAGGACACAAAGTGAATAAACAACTGTAGACCAGATACTCAGTTCTCTCTGCCCTAAAAAAAGACACTTAAAATTACATTTGTTTTTACAAATGAAATACACATATTTACAAGAAATTTAAGAACACTGCACTTCCTCTGTGTGACTCGAGCTCCGTAAAGTGGGTTTGAACTTGCAAATGTCCAATGACAAAGCAAATAGAATCTTTTTCTCATAAGTGCTATGATCGGTTCCTTGCCTTGTTTCTCGTTCTATTTTGCGTATCTCTTCAATGGTGTATGTTTCAAACAGCTGTCCAGTGTCCATGTCTATAGCACTAGGTCCCTCTGCAAAACCACATATAAATGCACCTTTAATTTAACTATTCAGCAAAAGTTTTCACAAAGGGTGAGTTAAATAAGGATTCAAATCTACAAATCGCTGTTTTTAACATTTGGACATGTTCGGGCGAGAGTAGAGTCCAAGTACCTTCCATAGGCTTTCCATCCAGTTAATTCATTTAAATCATAATCCTCAATCATAGTCCTCCAAATTCACCTCCAAAACCATCCTTAACCCTAACCCCCAGCCTTTTTACTAGGAACCATCCTCAATCATGTCAATCCTCAAAACATCTTCCGATTTATGACATGAAAATTTGCATTCAGCCTCAATCCTCCAAAATCCTCCAATACTTTGTATTGTGCATAAATAAGAGGTGCCCACTGCCTCAATCCTCTACATCTCGGTGCATATTTTGAATGGAGTTTTGCAAAATTTCCTGTCCGCGCTGCAGGCCATGCATATTTTGAATTCGTGACACAAGGGCTTTCATGGCACTTGTGAACGATATTTGAGCTGTCTTTGCCAGGTAAAAATGTCAAAAAAAAGTTTTTAAAAATGTTTTGCATCGTAGGAGGACTTTTACTTGGACGTTAGTCATAATGAATGTAGATGACATCTGACCTGCACCTGGTCTAGGGCGTAATTAACTAACGTTGGGCCCCAAATAGCCTAGCCCCACTAGTGTGGCATGGACTCTCACTCCCAATCCATCCTTAGCCACATATCCGTATGCGCAATTTCGTGTCAGCGTACTGAACATTTTCGGCGCACCCACTTATCATCGTGGGCGCAATTTCTTTTGCACACGAACATGATCCTTGACCCCCTCATCGTCTCGACGGCTGTTCCATGTCAAGACATCTAAACTGCTGCCAAAGTTTAGGAAGAGCCCATTGGTACATGTAGTATCTTATCGCTCAGTCCGTGTATTACATACGTCTTAACATGGAAGAGCTGTCGAGACGATGAGAGGTCAAGCGACGTATTGTTCAACGATCTTATTTTAAAGATGGCGACTGAGAGAGCGAGCCCATTAGATTGAATGGATAAAGGCAAAAAGACTGGAAAATACCTGAATAACGGGAGTGAAATCATTTAATAAATGGTTTGTAGAAAGCGGAAAGGTCAAGAATCATGTTCGTGTGCAAAAGAAATTGCGCCCACGATGATAAGTGGGTGCGCCGAAAATGTTCAATACATTACGTTCAATACATGCTAAGGATCGATCGGGAGTGAGAGTCCGTGCCACACTAGTGGGGCTAGGCCCGAAACAACTTAACAAGTGGGCCTGTGTAGCCAAGTCTCCTGAGTCCTTTTGACATGTTTGAGGCGAGGATTAGCAAGCAAGCACTAAAAAGAGCATTGTAATCACGAAAAGAAATTCAAAATAAATTATGCACTGATATGATTTTGAGCACTTCTGCCTGTTGCAATGAGTCTTTTTTCCGGTGTTTGGACACGTTTTCACTTACTTTTGGTCGTTTGCGGATCGGCCATGTTGGCGAAATGTTGCATCGTGGGATTTGTTGTTGTCTTTTTCATGAATTTGACTAAAATGTGTCCATTATTATTATTTTTAACAAGCTATGATAACTTTATTAACAATATAATAAAAAAAATTCTCTTTAAACTGCATTTTTTATTTCAAATATTTAGTTATGTAGTATATTTTACATAGCTTTAAGAACAATATTAAACGTTTTGATGAAAGAGTCCAAATGGGTCAAAGCGCGCCATAAATAAACTTTTTTCGTTCCTAGTTTGGATATCCAGTTGATAATTGACGAGGCAAGAACGATGAATCGAGTAGGAATGTTAAAATTGGTGTTAATTGAATCTGTATGTTTTACCTGAAAAATGAAATTATCTGCTAATGTTTTAATCTGGATTTTCGTTCTTTCAATTGGTCATTGAAGTAACATGAATAGTTTAATATTCAACTTCGGGTTTTGGGGGGCATTCATATTTTGATTCATAAATCACAGGGAGGGTTGCCGGGTTTTTAAGTGCGCCAGCGGTGAATCCAAGTTGCAGAGCAGATGATCCTGATTACAATTTGGTGAGATGACTGGATGATATGTCTTCCTGCATGTCTTATCGTGTCATACCCCACATGCCCATGAATGAATGGGGCATTGCATTGTCATGATTGGCATCCAACATGTACTGTCATGACATGTCCAATGGCAATGTAGCATTCAACTTTAAGTTATTATTTAGGCCAAGTTAGCCCGTGGGGAAAGAGTTCCGTATACGGATGTGCCAGTAATTATTCCCTACAGTGACCTATAAGCCATCATAAAGCAAAAACATGTCCAGAAAAAGTTCAATTTAGGAGGGAAAATACCAAGTCGTTTACTTCTGTGCTTAGAAAACAGAATTTTTCAGACATGTCAGACAAGTCCCATAGGCTTGTGCACAGGGTATCAAATGACGTCCATATATGGAATGCTTTCCGCCCGTGGTCCCTCATGAAGGAATAAGAACACAGGGTTAACCAGGAAACACAGTTGACCATGACAACCGCAAGCATGGCATCTGTTTTCATGTTTAACTTCAACTTGTAGAAGTTTAGAACTTCTACAAATAAAATTGAGGGAAAGAGTTCCATATACGAGCATCACTTATTTTCCCCTGCAGTTGTTTTTTGACCGTGAGGTAGCGATAACACGTCCTGAAAAGTCAAATTTAGCAGGGCAAATATTGAAGCATTTACTTGGAAAACACATATTTTTTAGTCCAGTCTCGCATTGTTTAATTGTATCAAGTGATGGGAAACTATGGAACTCTCCCAAAATGGTTTCCAGCCTGTCTCTGATTTCAAATGTAACCTGTAACTTAAGCTCATATACTTAATAAACGTGACTACTCACAAAGTCAAGCCATGTTTTTTTTAATGAATTGAATACTGTACTCCTGTTACACAGGTTCTCTGCAGCAATCATCTGATACATTCAAGAGCAGACTCTTGACAGCAGGAAGAAATTAAGTGCTCGTACAACGATAATATGGGGACTTCAGATAAACTGACCATTCAGATGTTAGAAACAGAGCCACATTTTGCCACAATACCACGAACAATTTCACCAATCCTACCGTCCAGGTCGGCAATGGACAGATCACTGGATTATGGGTCTCACAGTAGCGATAGTGGTGTCAGACAGGATTACATCAGAACTGTCAATGGAGAGCAGATGCATGCCTCAACTGGTATCAAGCTACCCGTGAAGCACATCACCTCGTTGGGGACACAACGGGGGACTCTCCTTGTTAGATACCTCACTCATCGTCACTCTAAGTGCATAACATGCCAGGACTGCGGAATTTTCTTTTCCCAAGATGCCTTTCTGGCCCACAGTCATGACAGGCATGGCAGGAAGCGCCACCGTCACCAGGCGGACATCCTGGAACTGGACGTTGAGAATCCTAGCTCCCAGGAGCTGAGGTCTTGGGAAGAATTCCTCTCCAAGACAGGCCAAAAGGCCAGAACCACTGAGTCCAGTTTGGCATCAGCAAGCTTGGATCTTGGCATCAGGAAGGGAGATTACAACCTAGAACCATCAACTGGAAGCCAGATATCAGCTGAGAAGCCAACACACCGTCAGACTGACGAACATGTGAATAAAGGTCATACCCTTTTATCAGACTTTGACAAGACTGTCCAAGACACAGTGAATGCATCAGAGCGGCTACTGAAGGAAACCTCACAGTACCTTCACTCGTCAGCAGAGAAACTCAGGCACAGGAGACAAAGGTCGTTGAAAAATTACCAATTTCATCCAGCCTCTCTCCCAGATGACCTTCCAAGTAACCCAGTATCCTCCACGGAGCATGTTCAGCCCATAATCAAAGATGCTTCCACCTCCAGCCAAAACCCCAAGAGGCCACATCGGAAGTTTCTCGAGAAGTACTTTGAGAAGAGCCGCGACAGTTTCCAGCTCCTTACAGACTCAATGGCATCTAGATCAACTTCAAAACCAGATTCTCTGGGACTCGAGGCCAGAACTAGCACAGGGGGTCCACAGCAGGAATCCTCGATGTTGGGTAGTGGAGAAATCAAAAGGGACGTGGCTGAAGATGGCGGTAAAGGAGGAGGTGATGCAGACAGACAGGCTGTGGATCACATTTCTGCCAGGCCTACCAGTCCTGGAAAGACCCCACTTGGAAAGAGCATCATTCTACAGGAGCACTTTGATAGAAATGGTAAACAATTAGGCAGTGGCATAACTATGGGGGGGAGGAAAAACATATGTGCCCCCCCACTGTCTCCCCTCCCTCTCAGGTCCATGCCCCCTTCCCCCCACCCATTTGAAACCTTGAAATTAAATGTGTGCATCCCTAGTTGCCCCTTAGAAAGTTTAATACACCACTGCATGTGCACAGACGAAGTAAAAAACCTAGACTAATGTCTCATCCCTTCCGTTTCCTATTCACTTGTCTTTCTTATTTATCTTCTGTTGTGTTTCATCACGGGACTAAGGCCAGACAAGTCAGAAAACTTCCTTCAAGCCTGGCCTCATATGTACACAGTACATTGTATATATGTTGCCGTAGATTTAGTTCTGACTCTTCCAAATAAGGCTGTGCCGTATAACCGAATATTCGATTGATTATTGAATATTCAAATAGTATTTTTCGAATTGGAATATTCGGATGCAAAATTCATGAAAAGGGAGGGAGAACGTTCTTTTTTTAATGAAAAAAATTGTACTATGAAGGCTTGTTCCCAGCAGATTCAAATGAAAAGCGACAGAAACCTTACAACAATGCACTATTGCAACTGATTTTGTATTTTTTTGTTCCTCGAGAAACTGCCAGTGCCAGTCGGTTTGACTGGATATTCGATCGAACTGAAGGTTGAATATTCGAATTGACTCAGCCTTACTTCCAAATTTATGAACTTGCATCTGAAATTGTGATGCAGAACTGTGTCGTTTTATTCTTTATTTATTGCTTGCTGTGTTTTTGGTTTAATGCCGATTTCCTATCAATTCTTTTTATTTCATTTTACCTGATCATCAGAGAAAAACTCTGGGCAGGTTTTAGACAATGCCCTCAACTCCAAGCCTCAGTCACATGTTACACATCTGTTTTTTTACAGATCCCTTATTTATTGTCCAGACAGCTCAGGAATTGCTGACACTAGCTGCGCACAAGATGCAGGAGAGACAACAGAAGAGCCCAGGTGATATTTTCTTCAGCGCTTCATTCCCTTGATTCAAGCAGGTTTCGAATTTGCAACCTCTGGTCCACCTGCTCCATGCAGGAACCAGAGAGGGTGTGTGTTCTCCATTGCAGCAACATTGCTTTGTAGGGAACTCAACAGATTTGAAGATGTACTTTGCGTGACTTGCATCGGGGAGATGTTAAGTTTAATGACGGGTTTTGCCCTTACTCAAGTCCCACCCGAGTAACCTGCTCTTACAAGCATAGAGTATACAGTGTTGTGAATGTATGTCGGTGTGAAGGCAAAACCCGTAATTAAAATAAACTCAACTCATGCGTACACAGGCTTGGTTGGGGCCTTGCTTGGCATGTATGACCAGTTTCTCCAGATGGAATGTATACTGTCTTTGTGTGTGCATTTAGCCACAGTCACACCATCTGTGGTGCAAACAGTGAGGCTTATTTAAGGCAAAAATTTATATGCACATTTAACCACTTTTGGGTGGATCACCGCTGGAGCCTTCCACTGTGTTGGGTTTCAACTTCCATATATGCAGTCAAGTTTGGATCAGCCTAAGAAAACTGCATTACACAGTCGACAATCCTGAAAGAAATGGTTGTGTCTCCTGTGTTGCAAGGGGGTACAAGGTAATGGCAAAATTGGACTCAAGCCAACACATTATTTTGTAGAGAGCAACACTTGGGTGTGCCCAGGTCACGAGGGTCAAACCAAAAGTTAATCATCATTCACTCTAGATATGATTTATTCATCTGTGAGGTTTTTTGTACATTTTAAAATTGTTGTTATTTTTCAGCAGGTGGAATAGACTGGCAGAAGAGGTATGAATTTGAGAAGGAACGGAATCGAGAGAAAGACAAGAGGATTAGAGAACTTGAAGGTACATGCTGTGAAACAACAGTTTCCTGTGTTCTGGGGTTGGCTAAGTCTGTTCTATGCAGTAGTGCTTTGGCTGGTCAATTTATGAGGGATGCAGTTGGAAGTTGGAGATACTTTTGGGTTGGGCAGAAATTAGTTTAGTTGATTGGATAAAAATTCTTGGTTGGACTTGTGCATTGGTGAAAAGTTTATTGGTCAGTTTGGTCAAGAAACCTGTTGGTTCATTGATCAAATCGATTGATTTCTCTGGAATTCCTTTTATTCTTTTTTAATCAACTGTTAGAGAGGAGAGAAGACGTATTGCAAATCTGCATGAAAATTTTAATCAGTGGCAAATTTCAGTATTTTATGCAGAAAATATTTTTTCCAACTTCAAACTTGAAACCCTGTTCTACAAATATGAAATTCCTAAAGAAAATCATGTGCAGTGTCCATGTATGCTGTTTATAAAACCTTTGTAAATCCACATCACAATCACAGAAGGGCACCAACCAATTACTGCCCTGTTAATCACTCACACACTGCAGTTAGCTTTAGTATAATGCCTAACCTAGGTCTATTGATAAAAATACACAATGTGGATATTTATTATGTCTACGTACATCAATATCTTGTACTTCTTGTAAGTTCTATGAATAGCGCCCTCTCTTGACTTAATTTGACCCAAACTTGTTCATAATCACTGACTGTCACTTCCTCAGGTCTCTTGGAGGCGGAGCAAAGGAAACGACAAGATGCCGAGGTGCAGCTCCGAGCGATACGTCTGCAGAATCTGTAAGCCTTCAGTACACCGCGTCTGATGATTGTCTTTGTGTCTGGAGTCATCGTTGTTGAAGTGCTTCCAGTGATCTGCTGGAACTAATTGGACATGTGGAATGGTAATTCCCCAAATTGCCGAGGAAATTTCACAACAAATGTGCAGTTTGTTTGTTTGTTTTTGGGAATCAGCTCCTGTTTCACTGTGGTAACGTTTTCGTCATCACTGATTACCCCATCCCCTGATCAACCGATGCTCCCCCTTGACATGGTCCCGAGGTTTTAACCAACTTCCGAATGAAACAAGTTTAAGTCCTTACTCCTTGATTATTGATTTCCATGAGGAGCTGTGATTGCTTATTTGCACACTGTTGGCACCACCTCAGGGAAAAAGTAACAGGGAAAATAAAATCAGTGGATTTTGTCAGGTTTTTAAGGCTTATTAATGATGCAATTCTTCCACCTCCAACTATCAATATAAAAATTATGTACTTCTGTTTTTTATAGCATGTCCACATTCTGTGATGAGAAAACTTTATACAAAACCTTTTGAAATGTGAGTCCTATAAGATTTTTGAGAAGGTTTTACACTAAACAACTTGCCTGCGGCCCTGTCCCTTGTTTCAGCATACAAACAAGGTTAAATTTGTTTACTGTCTTTACAACAAACAATTCAGGTGAACTCAACTGGTGTCCATGAATTGCCCATTGTCTTATTCACTTTTTGAGATCGAGAGGTAACACAACAATATTACTTGTTTTTCAACCAAACAAGGCTGTATTTAGGGTGAAAAACATGCAAATTAGCAATTCATAAAAATAGTCATCAATGCTCTCCATCTGTTCTCTACACAAAAGCGATCAATGCATAATAATCTTAGTCACCAATTTTGGGGACCGATGCTAGATGTTTTGAAGTTATTCAGTACTGCTAGATTTTAACAGAGGGGCTTCAAATGTCCTCTGTTTTAGTGTTTTCCAGGGCGGGGTTAGCAGCAGGTCAACATTTTCAAATACACGTACATGGAGGTTTTCCCCAAATTTTATAAACAAGTTTCTTTCAGGAATATGTGGATAATCAAACATTTTCAGTCTCTCTGAAGAGTCTTGGGAGCCCCCCCCCAAAAAAATGGGCATTTTATTTTTTTCTTATTTGGTTTATAGCGATACTTGTTGGTGAGAACCTTTTTTGCCATGGGGCTACCACTTCCTACCTGGTTTTTGCTTTATGAGGAAGTTACGTCTGCAACATTTACAGCTGAGTGTCTTAGTTTAAAACCTTTTTGAGGTTTGGAATTCTTTACATCCAAGCTAAAACAGCCAACCTCAAAATGCTTCAGGTATGTCAATTTTTAGTATTCAAGGCTATCATCTAATTAGCACTAAGCTGAGGGGATTGCAAGGACATCATCAATCATCACCAAGAACATCATTACTATCACCTGTAGGCACCAGTTCGAACAAACAGTCTGTGAATATTTTGTTAGTTGCTTAGCACTGACTACCCTGGTGGGCTCCACCACACCCACTGTTACCCTGTCTTGGCCAACCACAGAATTGTTGTGATACAATATTCGTGACCCCAGTATTCTCACAGGGTCCTGCTGTTTTGTGATTTCCCACGGTGGGGGGGCCAGCAGGGAGCCATTGTTTCAGTGGATCTAACAATGGTGTGGCCACCAGAGGGCGCCGCACAAAAGCTTAGTCACTGGTGACGTTTCTTTTGTGTTTGTTCAATCGATCACAGCTGTCTGATTGAACCACTGATTCTGCACAGCTCTGTGCCCATTTATCCTCAACATAAGTAACACCCCTGCAGTGCTTATTGGAATTGCCCAATCCCACAAATATTTTGCACCCCTTAAATGTGTATTGGAATCACCCTACCTTATTAAGATATAGTTGTGGGCTTGATGCTCTTAGCATGGAGCATAGTCTCTGCTCAAGTCCACACTAGGAAGTGCACTAGAAATCATGTCTGGTGAGACTGACTCACAGGAAGAATAAATAATGAGTTTTCCACCCTCTGTAGTCTGCAGGTTAACAGTATTGATTGTAAAAATGTTTATGTGAATAGCTTTATTGAGGCAAGAGTTCCTTGAAATCTTCATAGTATCAGTTGGAAAATATTTTGGAATGCTCAGAAGCAAATATTTGTGTGTTTATCGGGGTTGACTTATCATCGTTAACTTTAAGCTGGAATGTCAATGATTGTGATCTTGACTTGTGATCGTTGACCCTGAAATGTGCAAGGAATGGCTGGCAGCCATTCAAGAATTCACCGCTTAAGTCTTCGGGAAGGTTAGGGTTTGTCTGTGGTTTCAGAGAACCTCTCCTATGCCATGGTTGCTTTCCGACCAAATATGGCAGTGTTTTGGGTTCATGTTTTGCATATTAATTTATATCTATGGAGGAAGGACTTCCTCCATGATTTATCCATCCAGCATGAAATGCCAAAATTCCAATGAATAGTGACAGAACTAGCAACGATTCAAATTAACTGAGAGGCGAGAAATATTGAATAAAAAATATAGTTTCTCAAATTACTATTTTATTATAAAATTTCATGATACACTTTGTGGAAAAAAAATTACATTTTAAGTGATATTTCAATACATGTTATACCATAGGTCATCAATTAGAAGACAGGAAATGGTGCGTGTATTTGTGTGGCATTATTAATTCATGTACATGTATGTATACCTAGTCACAGCACAGTGTCCCAGCACATCGTGAAATTCCCCTGAAGCAAAGTGCAGACAGTCAGTGTAACGAAAATGCACTGGGTGTATGTCCACTGGTTTCATCACTGAGCTAAATATAGATCCATGTACTCACAGCATTTCAGTAAAAGTGAAAGAATAACATGGTTTCATGTGGTGACATTGCTGTGCAAGAAAAACATTTTTCATCAGCTCAACTTACAATATTTCCTTGTTTATCTCTCCAAAACAGCCTTACAGAGTTTGGAATTCCCCCCTTTTTTCAACTCCTTGTCACATGCCTACATACTGAAATTTCATGTTTTTTATTTCCCCGTAGCACTCGGCACTATGCACAGGTAATAGTAAATGAATGTTAATTTCATAACCATGATCTGTGGATGCCAAATTTGCTGATTGAAAACATTTCTGAGATAAGGTTGCTGGTCTGCTTATCATCATGTGCATGTACTTGCACAATAGTTAAGAAAGCAAGCACCAAAAATCAAGCAATTTTTATAACAAAAGCAATGTAACTTTGAGGTTTCCTCTCGAGAGCGGCATCCTAGTTTTGCTAGTGAATATGGAAATTGGCATCACGTATAAATAACAAAAAAAAGCACCAAAATACCATCTTAGATATTGAAACAAAAATTGAAAACTAAGGTTAATTGAAACACAAAGATGCATTTTTGGGGGTTTGCATCGTGAAATTGCATGGAATGGGCCCCTTTAAGGTTTACCACAGACATTGGCTTTCTACAGGCAGGTGTACATTGTGCAATACAACTCAGAGCAGTGGCGTACGTGTTCAGCAGAAGTCCTGCATAACCTTGAACCAGACAAGTTCATTCCTGCACAATGGTGTATTTTTTTGTGGAATTTATGGAATTTGCCCCAAAAAAACCAAACAAACAAGTTTGGAGAAAAGCTTTTCCTGTATGAGCCTACACATACATGTACGTGACAAAATACTGGAAAGTAAAAGGAAGGTTTCTATGCTCGTGGATGTTTAGGTAGGAGGCATTCATGGTTACGTAACCAGTTCTCAGGATCATAAACACAAACTCTTTACTCATCTGTGCTAATACCACATGCTAGGAACTTAATCCATACCCACCCACTGTAGATTTCCAAGTTGTTTTAAAAAACACAGTGTTACCAAATTTGTTTTTAATACATGTACATGTAGTAATGAAAAGCTGCATAATTTTCTTTCTAAAGGATGAAATGTTTGAGTGCAAAACATTCACGGTTGCACAACCAATGTCACGAATCTGAAATTGGCTTTGGATATTTTCACAATCGTTGCATCATCACTAACTGCTCTGTGAATCGCAATTTGTGCTGGCATCAAATAATTTACATGACAGTCAAGACTAGACAACCATTCTTCCTGAATACACTTGACCTCTGATAACCCCTGGTCTGACATTGACTTTTCAACATTAGTAGTGAGCCAATATTGTTTTGAATATAATCATTTGCGATCAGGACTTTGGACGGTTAATTAAATAGATACTAAACTGACTCATATTTGTACTGTAATGTGTGCACATGCACAATGCAGCCATTGAACGCACTGCTCAGGCCACCGCAATGACAAATAACAATCAGACCTTTTACCTAGAAATTTGGAAACCTGCCCAAGCATGAAAAAGCATAGCATAATGAACGGCAAATCTGTGCCCAATTCTTTATAACCTCAAAATGCTAACCTCCAGGGAGACAGATATACTACTCAGGATGTGAAATGCGCGACGACAGTACCAACAACGATGAATGCAAAATGATATGCCAAATTAAGTAATGAATATTCATGACATTGGGTTCAGATGGGCCAGTTTATTTTTCATCACATGACGTCAATGAGTACCATGATGTTTATACCTCACTTGTATTTTTTATTGGAGTACAATGTACATGTTGTACATGTATACTGTAGGATTTAAGCTGTAGAAAACCATTCATGCTTCTGTATCCTGCCCCAATTAAAATACACATATATGCAATTATCAAATAAAAGACTAGTTACACAGATTTTTGCTTTGAAACATTTATTATCTCTTAATGTACATTAATATATAGTGTGCATGTGTACATGTAGGTGATCACCTAACGAAATAACATAAAACAAAGATATGATACATGTTTTGTAAGCTTTGTTTAATGTTAACTGCTTATATGTATGTCTGATCATTTAGCATACTCTGCTAAATCATGAACATGTGCCATTTCACGTTCGCTTATCATTCACAAACATCTGAATCGGACACAACAGATTCACCTGTTTCTGGATCGTGCACTTTTCTTATAAGCCTCGCCAAATTTAGCCAGGTTTGCCGAAATGACCTCTTGAAATATATGGGCCTAGATATTTTGGTAGCTGAAAAATAAACGCGTAACTTCACATATCAATGTCGTGTGAGATCCAGTTTGGCTATTGAGAGTTGGTAGCTTTTAAAATAAGTCTGAAAAACCAGGGAAAGGCAATCTGTATCGATGTTTATTTCTGCGGATGTACAGCAGATCCTGTGTGGTCTAACACGGACACATGGTGCTACATGTCTGAGTGCACGTAACCAAAACCATTTAGCAAGTATACATGTCTGCAAATAAAATATCCTCACACACCAGAGATTGAAAAATAGGCATGCCTGACTACGTGCACCACGGGCAACCAGGATATTCTGCAAACCAGGAAGTGAGCTTGCAGAAGTCGCAGGTCTAGTTCACGCCCAGTTGAGCAGTAACAGTAACATGTACATATACATGTATTGCATTGCTTTGCCGTCTGATTACTGGTACTGTAAGAAGTAATCGAAATTAACTTTTGAACAATAAACTTCAGTGAATGTATTTTGTTTCAAAAGCCAACTTGCTCATATTCTCAGAAGACACAAGTGCGATGAACATAAATTATGAGTGCAGGAGAGGTATTTTTCACCACACACGACAGAATTGCAATATTTTGAGTAAAAAAATCCCCAAGTGGGGCTTTCATCTTTCTGGGCAATTTGTACATCAGGTAACAAGAATTAGGTATCTTGTTCACCATTATTTACACACCAGTTAAAGCTTTGCACTCTAGCACGGTACGTGTTTACCACAACAAAATCATACAATTATGCTTACTGTACATTTGTGTCTTACGAATACAATATTGCACATCATATGTTGTTATCAGAAGCTGAACTGCCTTTGCCGATTGTGACCAGAATCCATTTGGCAGGGTCTCTCTCAACTGCATATGTATGCACAAATTCAATACTGCAGGAATCCTGTACAGTATCATATTCTTCCCATGTTACTGTTTTCAAGTCAAGGTGACTAAACTGTCGATGTTCAATCCCAAATTTATCTAAATATTGCCCCCCAAAAATGCACATGAATTTTCACGGAGGAGTGTTTCAAACCAGTCTATTCATCTGCCACTTTTGCAAGACGAAAGCGTCTGGACAGAGTTCAGATCGAATTTGTGCTGAGAAATCAAAAGGTTCAACACATTTTACATGTACCATTTACCTGGACAAAAATCTACATGGATGTCCCAATATGCTTCATCAAATAGCTTCAAACAATACCAAATAACAATTACAGATATTCTTATACACACCAAACAGTACTCCACACAATTTACACCCTTTCAGGTCACAAACTCCAAAGACACCACTGCACTGTCACACGCACGTACTTTTACATGTACTTAAGAAGAGCTGTTTCATTGGTAGCAAGACACTATAGTCAGTACATGTCGCTGCATCATTTTATCGTGCATGCTGAGCAACACTTCATGCTGTGACCAGAGTCATCAGACCCAGAAAGCACAAACCTTGTTGATAAAATACAACTGAAAACACCCATTCACAGACACACACCTGGATTATACAAAGTCAAAAGGGGAGTGTTCCCCACAGCACAAAGTATTTGTGTGTTGTACAGACAGTGAATTGACAACAGAAACGATGCAAGGTCCTGTGACCATGCAGGTTTGCGACATTCGATACACTGTATAGACAAAAAGATTTAGAGGAATGACAATCTTAGGTTATAATATTTCAAGAATGAAAATGGTAATGCCATGTTTTCAGCATCCCAATAAAATTGCTTGGGATGCACAAAAAAATCAGCAATAAACTGCAGGAAAGGCACCCAGTAGAAAAAAGGAAAATCAGCTGCAAATTTCTTTTTTTCCCCCACCGCATCTCACGGGAAGTTGGATTTACTGAAGTGTTAAGAATGATTGTGTATTAAGCCATCTTTCAATTCTGGGGTTTCAAATTACCTTCACAGTGGCAGAACTTTCTAGGCACATCAAGCAAACTTTCAGACTACTTGACATTATTTTTAAGCTTTGGTAGAATCATAGTCTACTTTCACAAAAGAAGATAAAATCCAAATGAAAAAAAACACTAACCCAAACAACACTCTGAAGGCCTGTAACAGAATACTTCTCAAATTCCATGTTAACCACCTTTATGGAATTGGTGAGTTTCCAAAAATGTGCCCAAAAACCAAACTTTACCCTAAAACATCAAATTATTCTGTAGTCATATCTGAAAACATATACACAATTCACACTGTAGAAGTTTGGACTGTGATGCTCCAAATTTTCCAGCCTAATAGAATCTACTGAGATTTCCTTAAGTTTTTTCATTCCAATAGAATGCAAATTGAACACTTAAACTCAATTTACCATAATAATTTGTTTACACATCAGAATAACACTGGGTTATAGATAGCAAATGCATCCAGAGGAGTTTCTTGGCTACTTAATATGATTTTTTTCCTTCCTGGCATGGTGTGAAATGACTTGACGGATGCGTGTAGTATACCACGCTTTCAACAAATAGGCTGTCGTCCATTCGCTGGTCCTCAGCGTAGTTTCATCATCTACTTGGTTAAGAACCTCAGTGCAGCAAGTCCACCAAGCACAGCGCCCGTAACCAGTAACGAGTTGAAGGTTGCCTTCTCCTTCCAATCCTTGGCCTTAAAGCTTTCATTAAAATCATCCTGTAAATACAGTGTAATGGAAAATATTAAACTCAGTAAATTATCAAGAAATTCTTCAAACATATAATTTTAAACATGTTGATGCTTCCTTCAAATTCAGTCAAATAAGGGACATATTCCACAAACATGACAAAATATGTGGACTTCGTCATGTTGGTGCATATAAGAACAATGACAAAGTAACAAACTGATAGTAGTACGTATGATACTAACCCATCCACCTTGCTTAACAATCCAAGGCGTTAGCTTGTCACTGACATAATCGCCACAAACTTCCACAACCTCGTCAACATACTCTGGATTAGCATTTTCCTCGCAGTATTTGGCGAGTCGAGCAGCGAACACATACACCATTACAACACGACCCCAATTAACGGCTCCTTCCTCGAACATGGCATCCAAGCTGACGCTGAACAGCTCTTTCCCTGCGCCATGTTTCTTTGGGTCGTACTGGAGATTGTTCACGAGTCCATTTAGCGAGATGGCGTATCTTTCCTCAACCTCGCGTCCTACTCTCCGCAACGTCTCGGTATACTTGCAGGGTGGCCTCCCAGCATTCGCCTGCAGTTTGAAAGTGATGAAATCCCGACTGAGTCTCTTACAAATCGTCCTGCATTCAGCCTCCTTGCTGGGCGACAACGAGTTCCCGTTCAGTTCTGTCGGGCTTGGCGGCGAGTTTTTCGAGTCGTTGCCGTTGTAAAACATCTTTGATATGCTGTTTTTTTGCGGAGAAACGCCATTTAAAATTGTTTCCGCCATACTCAGATATTAAAGTAGTGGTCTGCAACGGTTGAAAATACACACAGATAACTACTTTTCCACAAGGAAATGTTTTCCTAAACTACGTGTATATTACCAGCTAGCCCTCCTCAGAGGAAAACACAGAACCCCACACGTACAAGGCCGAGAGCGGACAGAGTTGGTAGTGCAAGAGCACAGTACCTAATGTGCTTCGCAACAGCAGCGAGTGTTTTGATACTTCGGGTGTTCGGCTCGGACAACAGCGGAATTATTCGGCCATATCCGTAGAATCAATCTCGAGTCGAGGAAATTCTTAGATGTGCTATTTTTAGAATGACGCACGAGGTGCATGACGATCTGTTGTGACGTCATGGGTTTCTCGGAACGCGTGCACTCAACATTGGAATATTCCATTTACACGAAAAAGGGTGATTTATTTGTTTCAAATTACAACAAAGGATACATGACATAATTTCATTTGAATTCTGGTTAGAAATGTAATTTTTGGCGAAAAATGTGGCTAATGACATAAAATATTCTGAATGGTAGCTTATCTCTTTTAATGAATCTATGTTCTTAGACTTTTTTCTTGGCTACGGTGCCTACCCTGGCCCTTTGCAAAGGAATAGCGCGGCTTGCGATTCGCAGGTCAGTAGCGTGGGCGGTGCGAGCCGCCGCGCCGCGCTCGCTTTAGGAGCTAGCCAGGCGCGGGGGGGGGCCTGGGATCGATGATGCAATTTACATGTCGAATTGGAACGCCAGCAACGTTTATGTTGTGAAAGCAAGCAAAATGGCGACTGTTTTTAGCTACTGATTGCAACATACCACTTCCTGACTTAGGCCTAGCTATTTTAATGAATCTGGCATTATTGGCAGTGGTAGACTACAGTTCAGTTGGTCAAAACTCTTAAAAGGTAGGCCTAATTAAGTAATTGACTTGTTCATGTTCTTTTATTTAGGCCTATGCGTCATAATTGTGATCCAACTTGATATTGAACGTGCCAAGTTGCACATAATGAACTCATGGCTTGATACTCAGCGCTAAGGTTACTTCGAGAACTTTAAGTCACCACTCCGTAGTTGTGACTGAGAGTTTTTGAATTGTACTGTCTACTGAGGCCTTGAGGGGATGGTTAATTTCTGCTACAGTAGTTCAGTGTAATTTGTCCAGAACCATCATGAGCCCGTGTATCACCAGTCAAATAGTATTACCGGGTGGCTGATTTTGCACAACTGTGGAAAGGCATTTTGGGAAGAGAAAAGGGGCAATGTTTTCCTATTTTTCCTTCCCATTTTGCCTTTAGCTATTGTGCAAAATCACTCTTGCAACAAGGCATGTGACCATGGAGTCTGGAGGAAGGAAAGCTCTACAGTTTGGGAAGTTGGGTAACTGGCCATGGACAGCTTAATTCTTAATTGAGTAATTCTGATGAAATGGAAATGACATGACATCAGCTTGGCTGTTGCCTTCTGAAGCCCTGATCAGTCGATCTTGTTTGTAAATTTTGAAAGTGCTAGTGCTACTTGTATTGTAGTAGCCATCACAAAGTGATTGTATGCCCAAAAAAGTCAAATTAGCAGTGAAAATAATGACGCATTTACTTAGAAAACGCTTAAAATTTTTCAGACTAGTCCAACAGGGTTTGTGCACAGGGAATCAAGTGATGTCCACACCCATGATGTTATGGTGATAAGCTGGCCAATGGTGGAATGATCAACAAGTCATACCATAAAACTGACCCATAGTGCAATAACCAATCAATCACAAAGAGTTCTCATCCTTTTTATACTTATACCCTAATACCCTTCTTGCAGTTAGAGAGTATTTGTAATTTGGGGCTCTTAAAGTACGCTACATATATGTATATATTAGTATCCTTTGTTTTCTGTGAATTCTTTGTAGTTTAAAACCTCCTTTTTACTGATTACTTTTGGATTACTTCTATGAATCACTAAGAGACTTTTGTATAACATGCTATATGAGCATTTTTATTATTTTATCAATAATAATAGGAAAGAGTTCCATACATGGACAACACTTGATCCCCCAGTGCACAAACCTACCAGTATGAAACTTGTCCGAAAAAAGTATTTTCTAAGTAAAACGTTTGAAATTTTCTTAGTTAAATTTCACTTTTTAGGACCTGTTATCACTTTGTCATGTTTGTGATAGCTGCTATCAATTAAAAGGAAAATTAGTGATTTTTGTATATGGAACTCTTCCCTAATACTAGACCACTACTAAGGAAGATTAGTGATGTCCCTATATGTATATGGAACTCTCACCAACTTTTTTCAGCAGTGGGCTTAGAGTCCGAGATCTTCCCTAAGAATGCTTGATAGTGCAATCAACTGATATTGGCATTGTTCTAAGTTTGAAAAGACTTGTAAATTAGTGTGCAAATCACAGTAAAGATGAAACATTTCATATTATTTATTGTTCGTTGAAATATATGTGTGCAGATGTTCATGTAACTTGATTTTTTTCTGTTGAGCAGAATTTCAAAGAGGAGAAAGAGCAGAATGGTTCATAACGTCAACAACACCAAAAGTTGGCCGTCACGGCAACTGGGCAACAGACAACAGGCAGCCAATCAGCTGCTGTGGGATCAGGAGTCCCTCTTCAATGCCAGCCGAGGGGTGCAATGCCGACCCTCTGTAAACATTCCAGCACGGGACGTTGGGGTAGCCCTGCGACACCTGGCCGATAATTGGCTGCATGTGAGACAGGTGGGCTACCAGATGAGGACAATCGCTGACGAGGTGTATGCCAGACACCAGAGGAGGCACAACCGGCCCACATAGTTTTTCAGCCGGTCTCAGACCAGTGAGGCTGAGGAATCCGATCCCCACAGAAGACAGTGGAAAATGTTGAGTTTTCTGAATAATGACAATGCAGCAATGGAGAGATGCAACGTTGAGCATCGTGGCAGGCCATTGAGCTTGGAGAGATGGTCAGCTCAGTAGCTCATTGGTTTCCAATGTAAAGAAAAGTTTCTGAATGTAATTCTGAAGAAATGCAGTCATCCCTGACTTTCCTTTTTCTAAATCTGTGAACTTCAAATATCCATGTACATTTATTCCAATCTGAAGCTATTGAGCAAAAGAATGGACCTTTTGAAGCTGCCCACATATACATGTATCCAACTTTTGAGCACTAATTTGTCACAGCTAATTGCAGACAGATGTTAAATGTTTCTGATTAATGTGTTGGTACCGTGGGAAATGTACTCATCTGTAAAATAGAAATTGAAAAGGGCAGACTTCCATACCATCCTCAGGATAAATTGACTTTTTACGCATACACCACTGAACAAAACATCGATTTACTCTCCTGACTTCAGTTTTAGGAAAACAAACTCGACTGGCCACTTGCTATGCACATCACTGGTCTTAATATTTTTTGTATCTTCAGTGTGATAACTGTATTTGTATAATGTATAGTACATAATTATTTGGGGGGTGCCAAACCCCATGGGTTATATTGTACAATGTTAATTTTGCACCTGTTCATTTGAAATTATATACATGTACTACCTGAATGAATACTTGTCATCTGTTCTGTAGGTCATTCATCACATGCCAATAATTGCATGGACCAACTGCTAAGATTTTTGTTTCATGGTTGGCAACAGTTATTCCAAGGCCACCAGAAATTTCCAAACTCATAGACAATGCAGGGATTTATTCAGGTGGGAATTTGTTCAGGATTTACTTAAGCATTTAATGGTTTGTGTATTTATGTATGTTTGCGCATGTGTAGTGGAAAGAATGGTTTCATAAGTTGATCGATGGCACTGTCCATTCCACTTGACATCCCCGTGTGGAATGGGATGTTCCATCTCTCACCTCATGAAAATATTCTCACCATTACATGATAAACATTTTTTGTTTTACATTATATCAGCTGTTGTTTTCCTTGAGAAAGGATTCAGAATGGAAGAAACTCACTGTGGGAAAGTTTCAACCCCTGGACAAAAGGTCACCTTTGCTTGGTTTTATGGCAAAATGTTGCATTTTGCCAGCATCAAGCACTATGAAACTATTGCATTATCTGTTTCGTGCATCTTTTTGTGTTTTCCATTCTCTGTTCACTTCTACACGTATTCATCTTGTCAATGTTTAGTCAGTACAATGCCTCTCCGACCCCTGAACTTCAATTTCACCTTTGCCAAAAATGTCAACGATTTCTTTGCCCAAAGGTTCACAGCGTTCAGATTTTAAAATGTAGAGCCGTTTCTTTGAAACCTTTCGATGATGAATATTTTTTTATTAGTTTAAATTTATCACTCTATACCTTTGGATCACTTAGGTCAAATTCAACCAGAGAGGTCAGGTCAGCTAAAGGTCATGTTGACATACTGTTTACAATAAATTAATATGTACAATGAAATTCACTCTCAACATCAACCAAAATGGTACAAAAATTTCAGTGACTGATGGAACCTTTGTATCCAGGGGTCTGATATTCTGCGACTTCCTTTCATCGGAAGAAAAAAAAACTAGGGCCAGTTTTCATGATAATTGATGACAACTCAGGAAGGAATATACTGATTGAACAAGAAGTGACCTGTCTGTTAACTTATGTTATTATTTATAACATGTAAGTGTGTGTTTTATACTCAACCCCCACCCTCCTAAGGTACTTCAAATTCATTGGGAGGATTTGGGGGATTTTCAGGAGCGAGTAAAAAATAGTCAAGTCCTTTTTACTTAGTGAAATATAATGCGATGCCCTTGGAAGTATTAAGTGCCATTGGTGTCTACAAAGTACATTGTTAAGCCTTGGGAAGGCCTCCTAATGAAATTGCCCAAAGGTGTTTGGATAAAGATCATCCAATCGTCTCTTCTCCATGGCTCCCAGTAGCTGTTACTTGAGTGCAGAGACACTCGGGTCAAGATATGGACAACAGACGCTGGACGTTCGTTTCCTCTTTTATCTGACAAATTCATGTGGAGTGCACCCATCAGTTGTAAGGGGATGGTCACGATGACAAAATTCACATCCTTACCCCCAGGGCAGCCTTTCCATCCATGTAGTGTGCCAATGGCAAAAAAATTATCTGATACGTTTCCCGCCCTTGGGCTTGAGAAAGGCTACCAAAGGCGGACACACATGTCCTTCAGGAGCTCGGGCGGAGAACAGTGTTGATGCAGTAATAGGTGCAGTAATGTGGCAAGATCAGATATGCTTTAAACCCACTAGAATGTGAATGATTTTTGGTTGTTCAGAGTCAATGCGTCAAAGCCAATTAATGTTTTAAGGTGACGGATATGTCCCAGACTGTCATATTGAAACCTATGTAAGTAGAGATCCAGCTAATTTCCCGTCGTTTGCTGATGTCATCTGCCACGGGTTGGCGTAAATCCCACACTTGTTTTTTGTATGCATGTGCATGTCTGGTTCCGTGCACTTCCAATAGTTCCACAAGAGTTGAAATGAACTTTTATATGCATGAAGCGTGTTACAAGTCCCATCACTTATTATAATATTTCAGCAATTTCAGAGATTCAGCACATATGATCTACCTCAGTTTAATAATTGAATTATTCTGCTACAAATTCTGATATACATGCATTCAGTATTTTAAAATGCCCCATTGTCCCCGGTCCCCCAGTTGGTGTCACATTTACCACCACCCGTTTTGTAAGAGTATGTAAGATCATTAAGCTGTTAGCATTCAATTTTCAACAGTTCTTGAATAAAATTTGTAGAGGTTCTAAACCTATTGCGTGAGGGTGTCCCCGTGTGTGTATACACTGTCCGGTATCAGATATTTGTAATGGGATTGAGAAGATAGATGAACCAGCAAGTTGCATTAATATCTATACACCCACGATCTTTTGTGCATGCCCCACGGGTGATGTGAGTCATCTGTTCTTGCACTGAGAAATAATGGTTGGAGTTGGTGATTAGAAGAAACTACTACTAATTTTGATGGAAAAAGCGATGACGGCATCACTGGCCATATTAAAATGCTTATCGTTTGCACGAGTCCCAGTTGATGCTGTGCAAGATTCTACTTGGGGTCTGTCAGTGCTCCCATTGGGTGGAAAATGGGTCACGGTCAGTGTGGGGTTCGAGCCCAAGACCTTCACGTTATGAGCGCGATGCCCGTCCGACTGCTAACCGACCTCGTAATAGAGAGTCAAAAACAGCGATTGTGCATAATAGGCAATGCGTTTTATTATATTGGGTAGGTACGAAGTTATACTCATCAGCAAAATGTAACGACCACTCTTAACTAGCTCATTCAATGAGCTAAACAGCAGATACTTATGTACCTTTCGAACGTTTAGCCAGGATCTGAATTAAGCAGAGGGTACTCTATCGGTACCTTTCTAGGGTTAAGTCAGGATCTCAGTGAATTTAGCAGATAGCACTGTACCTTTATACGGTTTGGCCAGGATTTGAATTTACTACAAATTGGGTTTCCTAAAAATGAATTTTTAATTTAAAACAGGATGTCAACTTTGCTGTAATTTTTTAACTTTTACATTGGATACATTCCCATAAGCCGAGGAGTCCAAAATACATGTCGTCAAAGAATGCCAGGCGCACCCAAACACCCAGCTCTCACTAAAACCATGCATAAGCTGATGACTTGCTGAAGATCACACAATGTAGTAACCCGCAACCAACACGCGCCTTTAATCACATTTCACCGCAACAAGTCGTTCTTAAACAAAATAATCTTTAAACACAGAAGAGTCTGCCTTTGTGAATCACCACGGTGGATTTTTTTCAATTCGTAGGGACATGCAGGTAGATAAAAGAAAACCCTTGGTCAGTGTGGGGCTCGAACCCACGACCCTCGCGTTATTAGCACGATGCTCTGCCGACTGAGCTAACCGACCTATCGATAGTACCGTAATAACCATTAAGTAATGTGGTTTTTTCGCACGGGAAGACAAACTCATCAAATATTGATCATTCCTAGCGAGCCAGTACATGAAATACACAACAGACAGTGATGTACCCTTACAGGATCTGAAAGTTGTGTGTCCACAAAATGGCATTAAATTTGAAACTTGACGTCCAGGTTGTCGCAGGCTTCAGGTTTTAAATTTTTTATAACAATTCTCAACAAATTGGGACACCCAAATGTTCAAAGAGCGTATCCAAAACACGCGTCCAGACCAGTGCATGGTGTAGCCAGGCTCGGGGAGTTCCCACGGGAGGGGTTATTGACCCTTGCCCCCTTTGGCTAAGTCGCCAGGGTCTTCTCGAGAGAGGGGGTGGCAAGAGTTCCTTCACGGCCCCCATTGGCTATGCCACTGGTCCAGACACCCAATTCATACACCAATCATACAAGTAGCATTCATCTGCCTTTATGCACCATTGCGTTAGAAATTTATCTTTAAGAGGGGTTTGCAAAAAAAAAGTCTTGGTCAGTGTGGGGCTCGAACCCACGACCCTCGCGTTATTAGCACGATGCTCTGCCGACTGAGCTAACCGACCTGCATGTGAACTTACGCATCGATTAGGAAATGTGTTTTGGACCGGAAGATGCAGTCATTGAAGTAAAAAATTGACCTTTCCTATCCTCGCTGAAACATGGGTAAAAAAGGCACATAGTAGAGTTGTGTACCTTTCTGGGGTTAGGCCAGTAACGTGATGGTATCCTGGAGGAGTGTTTTTCAGGCTTAAGGCCAAAAACAGGTCTGCGGTTTCTGGTCAGGAACTGGCTCCAAAAGTTGTGCGGCCACGTGGCTTCCCCCCCCCCCACACTTTTTCTGGAAATGATGTACGATAACGCACGATGTCCATCGTGACCAAAGATGGAGAACTTCACCGTGAATACACGTAAAACGTTGTAATCGCGTAGGCGCCATTTCAGCAAGCGATACACCTGCGCAATGCACATTAATGCGCAGGCGCAGGCACCACGGCTACTGATCTATATACAGATCAATGACCACGGCAGGCACGTACACCTGGTGCGCCTGCGCATTACCGTGAACCGTGCAGGCGTACAGCTGGCTCAAATGGCGGCGCCTACGGCGATTACATCTTTTGGGCAGAGTTATCCATTTTGCTCCTTCGGCGCGACACGACCTTTGATTGTGACTACATGCACGTATACCTGTAATAGCACGTAACTCTGGCCGCTACCGGCACTAAAATAGACTGGCCCCCGCACTTTTACTGTTTAAAGGCATTTTCAGCTTGTACATGTACACAGGACATAAGACCATCTCTTCTGTCTGGATCTCGTACCTTGACCCAGCAATGCTAATGTTTCTCTCATCAATGGGCCTGCCTGAAGGTCGAAACCAAAGATCGTATAGCGCCGCGTAGCGGCGCAAGATGGGGAACTTGCCATGAATACGCGTAAAACGTTATTATCACATGGGCGCCATTCTGGTTGGACTACGCCTGCGCAGTGCATGTTAATGCGCAGGCGCAGGCGCCACGACAGGACGCACACACACTAACGTTCACACTCGAACGGCGCCCATTGCGATAACACCTTTATGGCAGAATTACCAATCTTGCGCCGCTACGCGGCGCTAAGTAATCTTTGGTCGAAACTAGTATGTACTTAACAGTTTAGGTAAACGGCACAAGACTAAAGTTCATAGTCATCTTCGCCAAGCCCGAAACAAGTTAGCGGCCCCAGCGTTACGTAGCCATTCTCTCGATATCCCCCAACGTCGCCGAACTGTAAGCGAACGATGGGAAGTTTGGTAGAATCGGTCAGGAATCCCTCATCTGAGCGCCATTCATCGTCGTTGGCGTCGCAATTGCATTTACGTCCTGGGCACTCTGAATGAGGAAATATGCGAGTCAGATACGGTTTGTGAATGATAGGAGTTTGTTCATTGGTATCGTGTGCATGTGAAACAGTGGCACAACCAGGGCTAAACGTCCGAGGGGGACACCCGCGGGTGCAATCATTTTTTCAAGGGGGCACCACAAGAAAATGAGCTGCAGCATTTCAACGGGGATTATTCACAGGGGGTCACTGTGGGGCACGTCCTCCCCCAGTAGTTACGCCACTGGAGTGAAAATGATTACTTTTCAATATAATCTATTTGAAATCAATATATACAGCAAAGAAAAGTGCGCATATACATAAGTACGTAAAACAAAAAAGCTTCACGGGTCTGTTTAATTTGTCTCAATCCGCTCCGAGTTGAAGTGCACCCCAAGCGGCAAAAGAACGACAGGTGGTTGTAGGTTTTCCAAGCGGGTTCTTGCACGCGTTCTGCGTGTACGCAAAGACAATAAATTGGTTACGCACGCGAGGGCTGAGTTCAGGCAGCTTGTTCTCGTATGTTCACGAACAGCTCGATTTGTTGTCCTTGGGTCGGCCGCTCAAACGCTGGGAACGTACAACCGGTTATTGCTGGTAGTTAGTCACAAGCAACATGCCCATGGCGGCGTCCATGTAGGGTACGTTATTCGAGAGCTAATGTTTGGATAACTGGGCTGAATTCTTTTCTGTTTAAACAGGAACATTCATTTCTGTGTTATGAAGAATAGTTAATGTTACTTTTGCAAAGTTTCCTATTATCTCTGGCTTTGTAAGCCATCACTCTATTTTTGCCATGTTTGCAACTGTTCAAAAATCAAAATCTCACGAGTTTTTCCGTGTGTTCTTGTAAAACCCTGACGAAGAGGTGGTGTGTGATCCTGTTCCCGAGAACAGTTTTCTTGAGTCCTCTTCCCACCGTTCGAGCGCGAGAACAGGAGACCTGTGTTAAGAACAGGCCGCCCGAACTCGACCAAACGCGCCACTCTCATTATAAACGCGCGCCTATGCGGTGTGAGTAACAAAAACACGCCCTCTCTTGTTCCTGCTCGGAGTGGACAGAGGTTTTCACGTGACGTGACGGGCAAAGGCAATTCAGGAAGCGTATTGGTACCATGCCCATGGAGGTGCGTGCATTTTCAAATCATCTGTGCATTTCTATTAGCATTTTCACATGCGTCAGAATTGTGAAATGGCGTCAAAGTCGCGCGTTTCCGCGCATATGTACTGTGTTAACTGAACGCTGACTGTCAAGAATCACATGACTGAAAATCCTCCGTAGAAGGTTTGCATGCTTGCCATCTTACGGGCCAGTGATTATGCATAAAGCTTAAGGATGCAAGACTTCCCTGTGAACAAAAGAACTGCCCTATTAAAGATAGGACTAGCGCGCTCATTAAATTTGTCGGTTTGACTGTCCTCTCCGATCGGGAACAAAAGAGGGCGTGTGTTTTTAATGAAATTGACACTCCTTAGGTACGAAGTACAGAGCCACTGCTCATTGCATGCTTCCGCCACTGGCACGCAGAGCCTCGATCTGGCAGTTTGTACAATTGCGTCAACATCGCGTCAACGCAGCTTGTTGAAATATTGTCCAATTGCAAGGTAGGCCTAAACGAATATATGCAGCACGCCCAAAATTACTAACAAACATCACGCGAATCACTGAACTAGCCATATTAATTGTGTAAAGCTGCCAGATTGAGGCTCTGCATGCATAATGGCGGCAGCATGCAAAGAGCGAATGGTACGAACTTTCCGCATAGGCGCGCAAGTTATGCGCGTTTGTTGCTGGGCAAGCTGAGCATGCGCAACTAACTTTTTGTGCTGGAATGTATGGTCTTCGCGTGCACGCCGAATGCGAGCAAGAACCAGATTGGGAAAATTCGTACCAGTCTGTCTTTCTTTCGCCGGTTGGGGGTGCACTTCAACTCAGGGTGTGGATTGCCCACATGTCTATGGGATTGCCCAATGTGGTACGTGTATCTGGAACCACGCGCAGCAATGTGCTGGCGCCGCAGCTGTACGATTCACTGAGTAGCATTTTTCAACAGCTTTAACTGTGAAAGTCCGCAGAAGTTAGGAGCAACTTTGCTGTAGTAATCATTGCCTTTCTAACCTACTTATGGGTCGGTCACACGGTTACATCAGTTATTTTTGGCTGCAGGAAAAAACTTACCCGTGATGGAAGTGGAGGAGAAATGTGCTTTAATGCGCTGAAAATATTGGAGAAACGGACAAATTCGTTTGCTAATGGCAACAGGCTGAAGAGGTGTGCCGCATGTTAAATTAACCTGTTTTGCAATTTCAACATTGTCATTGGACTGGAAAAGTCATGGGATTCTACTTTCTTAGCTTGAGAAGTCTTTATCTCTAGCTTGTTTTGATGTGTTTTCACAGCGACGAGTGTTTGAAAAGTGATTTCACGAAAAGGTGAACAAACCTTCCGTGAATTGGCACTGACAGCCTTCTGTGCCTGTCGCTACTCCACCCCAATTGGCCAGCCGACCGTTGTCACGTGACACAGCCCAACCAATAGGTTCCCCACTCCTTCGCCAAAGCACGGAACTGAAGCACTCGTATTGGATGAATTGCTGGCACCAAGAAGACGCGTTGATGAGGGCAAGGACAAACTCCATCGGCTGGTAGTATGTGACGTCATGAATCCAGCAACCTGCAGCCTCGCAGCCGTGAACAAGCTGTCTTGCCTCACTATCGTGCTGCAAAATGGTGGCACCTAGTACAAAAAATCAATCATATTAATCGCTTAAATTAATCAGACTTGAAATGTCAAACATCCACTGCTGCAAAATGTTTGCAAACTATGTCCGCGGCTTAACACACTCTCATTTTTCCCAGAACATGTATGGGCGGCAATAGTTTTGTAGAAATATTACCTTTTGGTTGATTTTCAATTTTACCTCCCAATTCGTTCCAAATCGACATTTGTCTCATTGATTTTAAATAGCATTGTATTTTATTTAGTAGTACTTGTATTATTTCCTGCATTCTTATAACTGCGTAGGATTTGTAACACTTTGTGTATTATTTTCTAGTTTTGTAACGACGGCCAACCATAGTTTTAGCATCCACTTGTAGGAAAAACACGACTGTGACGTCAAAATAGCAGACCCTATAACGGAAAAAGTTTGACAGGGCTTGACGTTTCGATCCTGTTGCAAGGCCGGATCAAGTGTTGCGTATATAGACACTAGGCAACAGTGTTCCGTAGGCCCTACTCCGTCATTCGCACCAGTAGCAATTTCATGGCGATGGTAATTGTTGATAGTGCCCCTCACACGGTGGTGTCTCTGTGGACCTTAGATTTTTCGCAGGCTCCTGAATTTTTAGGCCACATGCACAGTGTCTGGTCTGTAGAATAATCCAGCCCTGTCCTATATAGCAAAATCTCTCTCAAAGGTCGGAGGATTATCAATCTTTTAAGACACAGCTGTGAGTCGGTATACTGATCACTGCACTCAAGCATCCCATTTGGAGAGGAATACCAACCCTAAGCGACACAAGCGCCTGGAAATAACACTGTCCAAGTCTGTTCCTCCTCCCAGTGGGTTGATCCACTAGTGTTGGAACTCACCTGTACTCATATCACATTTGACCTCTGAAGGTGTTTCTCCTTGGCCTGGCCCATCAGGATCAACGATGTGGGAACCATTAGTCTGATAACCTCGTCTTTTGAGATCAGCACATGAAACAAACGAAGTCGGCGAGGTCTGTGGAAACAAGACAAGAAAACAAGAGCTTTTTAGGTAGCGTAAAATAAAGCAGTTTCTTGTTGCTGTCGACTTCCCCTCTCTTGGTGTTTTTCTTTCCATTTTCCTTTTATTTATGAGCCCCGCACCAAACGTCACCGGCATTGCCGTCAGCCTAAACTTTGTAAAGACCTAACACAGTACAATATAATGTGCTATTTCGTTGAAAATAAGTTTTCTACCATAATTCGTTGCGTTGGGAGAAATTTTCATCAACGAAGTTTTCAGCAAGCTCGGGTAACTGAATAAGAAAATGTCACTATAGGACGTGTATATGTATTGACTCGTACTAAGCCTAGTATATATACTAACTTTTCCACCCCAACCTGTGCCCGACAATTTAACTGGCTTTCTCGGGATCATTGGGGAAGAGAGATTTCCTAAACCAATGAAGAATCAGATTCGAATAACTTCAGTCATGAAGCTCAGGGCACTCATTGTGAATTTTGTTTTGTCGGCCTCACCTTGTCATCGCTGACTTCCAGGAACACAGTGCCTTCCTGAGCGATGAGATCCTTCGGCCAATCCCTGCTATCCACGTTGTTCAGCTCGCAGAGCTGACTGCCGTCTTGATAGTAGTAATTCACGGACTTACATCTCGCCGTTCCGTGGCGCGAATGGACGATCAGACACGCTAAAAAGCACGCCTTTGGAGAAGGAAGACGCTGGATAGACCCAACGTGATTTTTTAAGACGTAGCCGTCGACAGGGGCGTACGTGGACATTGTAGAATTGCCAATAAAAATCTTACAGGAGCGGTTGGAATGTGAGGTTATCTCCCCAGACAGACATAAAGGAAGAAATCCGGCTAAAATTGCCAAAGCAATAGGTAAGTGGGGCACTTTCATTATTTGCGACGTCACTTTTCAAGCTTTATCTTCAGATGACATGGAGATTTTGAAAGAAGCACCTGCTCGACGCATCGGGAGAGGATTTCATGACATCATCGACAGGAGAAAACCCAGAAGGCATCGGCCATAATGATATAATTATAATTGAACCGAAACGACACGGCGTATGCAGCCTTAGACAGTTAATCAAGACCAAATTAGGGCCATACCTGTGATTACAATTAACCCTAAACAACACGGAGTATGTAACCTTGGACAGCTGATTATTAAGAACAAATTAGGCGGGTCCGTCAACAAAGCCCCCATCAGCAAAACCATAAGCGTTAAAGTTATGTGCCCACCAGCTAGTACTGTGCCCCCCCCATGTTGGCGACGGAGTTCAAATTAGGGTAATATTGCAACTGCATGATCAATCAACAGCTACTATTTACTAAACAAGTCACACAATAAGGCTTTCAAAGTTGTGTTGATAGTTCAGATTGCGGTAATTGGGGAAAACCACGATATAATTGGCCTTTCAGTGAAACTCTGTTGCTCCGATTTTCTTCGGTTTGGGTCTCCGCTAAAACAACATTGCTAATTGCATTGCAATTACATAAGCAAGAAAATAAACCACACAGGTTCCATTCTGCTTGGTGTCCCTTATTCGCGTGACTAGCTCGCCTCTGTCGTCATTTTTCCCAGGCATTTTGGGGGCTAAATCATGCGTAATGCAAAAAGATATTATGTAGTAATAAGCGGTTAAGTTACCAGGGCCGCTGTTATTAGGGGAATCGGGTAATCAAACTTATCTGATTCCATCCATTCATATTTAATCAATCTTACCATAAAGAAACACTTCACAAAGACGTTCACTGGTTAAATTAAGACGGAACGCCAACAGATTTATTTGTAATCATATTAATGTGCGTTTTAATCTGCCTTTAAAACCATAATAGCAAACTCTTTAAAACTAGACAAATATGAGATACCTCGATGTAAAATGGACAACGTATAACCGGTAGTCAGTACCTGTCGTACCTATTATCAAGAACTGAATGAAAATATTCAAACTGGAAATAGCACCACCGCTGAAACATTTCTGGCAGGAAAATTTTCAAGGCAATCCAATGGATATGAGAACTTTTGTCATTTCGCTATAAAGTCTGGCATTGCTGTAGGTTTACCATTCCATTTAAGGGACTGAGTTTAATATGCACTGTACCCGATGTTCATGCCTGGTTGAAATTCTCTCGGGGGAACCGGTAAATCTTGTCTCATGATTTTTAACTACAAAATTGCCAGACTGCTGTAACAAAACCTATCCTCATATTATCTCCAGTCATTACCAGACTACATACCGAGTGTATAATGTCAATCCCTGATCTGACATAATCCAAAAACTGGTAGAAAAATACAAAAATACCGCAATAGAAATTTCAGTAAAAAAGATATTTATGGGAGTATTTTCATATTTCTTTTATATCTCAAGGAAAAAATGAAAATAGCTCTATTGAAATTGTGCTTCTGTGAGAAAGACTAGACGGTACTCTTGTTAATGTACATGTATAACATTTCATTTGCAAAAGTTGATAAATCTGACACGTTTTTCTTCCCTACTTTCCATCATTAAATATCACCTGAATGATAAAGAAATAAAAAAATACTCTAGTAGAAACTTCCTTTATATATATTTATGAAATATACTCTAGCATGTTTATTTCTTTCTAAGCTAAAACAGCTGAAATAGAAAAGCTTATTGGAAGAGAATCTCATTGAGAAAGACTGGTTAAAGTACTGCCCTCCATTTGACATAATCTGTTAATTAACCTTAACAGTCCTCCAACAGGTGGACGGAGGACTGTTGTTAATCTGACAAACAATACGGCCATTTCGCAATAGTGCCCCACCAAAAGTTTGCAACACGTTGGCCAATCACAATGTGCAAAATGGTTGACCCAATGCACGTTTGGAAAGGGTCAACAAATTTAGTGCATTATGATTGGCCACAGTGTTGCAAACTCTTGGTGGTGCACTATTGTGAATCGCCCATATTCAACATGCACATGCCATTCGGAAGGGGTGGATTGTGTGAAGACGAATATGGCAGAAAAAGGGAGCAATGCTACAAAATATGATAACAGTGGGAAGACACCAGTCATTCTTTTCCCCGTTGGATATCAAGAAAGGGCAATAAGCCTTCGACCCAAATCTGGTACACTGAGTGCTTTAAATTCACGTGAACATAACAAATCGAATTCTCCTTACTAAAACCAGTGTTGCTATACATCGAGATTAGGGGCAAGCTTTTGCTTAGTTACGTAAGAGATGCCTCACAACAATACACTGCTCTCAATGGATAAGAAGGGCACAAAGGAACCAGTCCATTCCAGAGATGGTGGTCGCTATGCAAAAGCTTGCCCCGAATCACGAGGTATAGCAACAGTGTCTTTAGTCTGGGGAATTTAAATCATAATGTTTTGTGCAGTCAGACAACTCAGTGCACCAGATTTTATTCAAATTTAACTCGCAAATGGCTTATTCTGTGGATCTGATAAGCACAGCTGTTTGTCCACCATAGTAAACTTTCACTGGTTACCGCGCAAAATATCATGCAATCTACATTGCTGATTTTTGCTCACTGCCAAATACTGATCAAATCTGATCAAATACTGATCATGATGTATATGTATCTCCCTTAAATGGGGCACAAAGCCTACCTTCTGCCTTCCCCCTGACAATAAACATTTGTGTGCGGTTTGTGCATGGTTTGTAGGAGCAAGAAGACGTGCGACACAGTGGAGTCTACAATTTACCCAGAAACCAATGAAACCAATAACATAAAGATCCCCTCTGGTGTAATTTTACCAACCCCATTCAATCTTTGCCATCTCTGCACTGTCGTTATCCTCCTACAATACAATCCTGGCACCATGTGGATCACACGGGGGAAAGAGGGCTGACCACCTTCCCTCTCAGAAAAATAAAATTGGTAGGTAAAAAGAAAAAATTCCCCAAAAACAAGGAAATGGGGAAGAGACAAAAAAGAAAGGAGGTAAAGGGATAAAAATAACCTATTTGCTGGAAAATATCTTGGAACTGGCTTGTCTTCTACTGTTTATGGTTTGTCAGTTTGCTGTTAATAAGAGCTTACTAACAGGTCTATCCCCTTCCTGGTGGCAACCTTGCCTGGCACCCTTTTGCACCCCACTACCACAATCCAAAAATTAGAATCTTGATCTATGCCAACTATTAATCTCACATTTCATCATCCTCCAATCGTCTGCTTCACTTGCCCTCTTTCTCCTGCTTCCTGTGTTTCTTAGCCACGGCCAGGAAGTCTCGGACGTCCTCCTCCGAGCCCATGATGACAGGGCAGCGCTGGTGGATCTGGCCAGGCTGGATGGACAGGATGTCCTTGGTCCCCGTTGTGGCCAATCCCCCGGCTTGCTCCATGATGAATGCCATGGGGTTGGCCTCATACAGCAGGCGAATCTGTGGGTGGATGCAGGGAGACAGCACTGTAGTCGAGACCACCACAAGACTAGATGCAAGATCAGATACACAACCATGCACAAGACCAGTCACAAGACCTTTCACAAGTAACATGGTGAACAAGGACTAAGGAGTGCTTTTATTGCGGCTCATTTAAATGGCTTGTGACCTAAATTCAGACTGGAGGTCTAGTGTGGGTCTTGTGGGGTCTTCTGATGGTCTTAACATGTTGACTGCCGTGCATAATTTCACAGGGCATTCCCATTTGCCAAGCATTGTACCTATGCATGAATATTTAAAAGGTACTTTTAAGTTGTCTATTTGAACATGAGCAATTTACAGATGCACGTCCTCAACACTGTCAGCAGCGTACTTCTTGTGTTCTCAGTGATGCCAGTGTATTCAATTTACAATACCAAAGCCTTTCATTTCCTATGAGTATACCCTGAGGCTGGACGGATGCACACAACACCTGCAAACTTTTGTTCTATGTTGCAATGAAACTAGTAACAGGGCCTACAGTGAATGTATTACTAGATATGTGGGCTTCATAAAATGGTCATGAAGTTTATTGGGGGGTCTCAAACTTACATAAAAGGCCTATTAGTGCAGGTGTCCAACCACCCTTACTGCTTGACTATATACTTCAGCATGCTACCATGTTACCTGGACTGATATGGACAATGCTATGCTTTTTTTTCACCTTTCCATTGGGGCTGTTCTTGTTCCCAGGGTATAAGAAGATTCCACCATAGACCAGGGTGCGATGGACATCAGCCACCATGGACCCGATGTAGCGGGCATTGTATGCCTTCTGACCGTCCTGTTTAGGAGAGGTCCGATAAATACAAATACTGAAGTGACGTTACTTGAAGTACCGTACATTATATTTGTTAGAATATTTAAAGGTGTGGTTGAATCTAAAATGACTTGCAGCTAGTCTAGTGATTAACACAATAGCAAAAGCTGTTTTATGATGCAGGGACTGCACATGACAGGTTACAGTTCTTGGCAAAACAGTAAGAGGGCAAGCACATGGTGCTAAAAAGTTCTTTCATTGTAAAGTTCTATGTGAATGTTTTTTCACAATGTTACCATTTTGCTTTAGCAAAAAAAAAAACGACTACAAATAGATTAACAAACAAATCCTTCAGATTACTTTGCAAGCATTCTTAAATTATCTGGCAAAGGCATAACGTTTACCTTCTCAAACTTTACTTAACAATAGTCCTTCAAATGCACAGGTGTAAATCCCCCATAAGCCTAATATTACTTCATGTACTTGCATACAAGCTCTGTGAACTATTAGCACAAATCCTTCCTCGTTCTGTGTTTTTCATTTCCTGTTTTTCAATCCCCTCATGCCTACCTCGGGGAACTTCTTCTGTTTGATGTACTCTGTGACCACTGGGTCCCAGAGAGCTGCATAGCCTTCATTGATGCTGTAGATCTTGCCACGAGTCTTCACTTGTATGAGGCGGTCTGTCAGGACAAACTCACCGATAGCCTGCAACAGAACAAGGGTGGATGAGTACTGAAGACAAGAGCCTTGTTGTTATTTCATGGCTGGGTTTACAAGAGCCGAGGATTTGGCACTGTTTGCAGACCAGTCGACCCGGGAATGGAATGTAGCAATCTTGTGCAAAGTTCTTAAGCCCACCCCTTTAATTCATGCCCAAACACTGACTAACAAGTGAGCTCTAATTTAATCAGTATCCTTAAGGTTAAGGCCAGCAAATAGGACCAAAACTGGTATGCTGTCAACATGTTTACTATTGGAGCATTTTGTGGCGCTTGGACTAGATAGTTTGTGAAAGAGAAGCTACCAGGAGGACTGCCAGCTTGTACGGTACTGGACAAAATGGGACCTTCAAAAGTGTTCTAGTTTGCAATTTTCCAAATGGCAAAAGATTTCACAAATAGTTTTAGGGGTGATCATATCTAGATAGAAGTATCTACAACAGTCATAGGTTAAGCCACTAAAATTTGAAAGGAAAAATGAAAGATGAGGAAATCAGCTTTAATTTGGTGTGTCTTGGGGCTTACCGGATCAAGCATGAATCCATTGACCCCGCATCCGGTGGTCAGTACCATCATGGTAGCACTACCATACAGTGCATACCCAGCGGCCACCAGGCTCTGCCCAGACACCAAGATATCTGCCGAGGTGACTGGACCTGGAGAAGTCTATGGGAAGAAACTATTCCCGCTTAGTATCAAGGGGGCTGATGTATCAGTACCAGATCATTTAATGTCAGAACTAACAGATACATTTTGTTCTGTCTGCTTCTGCCTATAAATGGGATTACCTTTGAAAGAACATGATGTGCGCTATTATTTTGGTCAAACAACAGCCTGCATGCTTATTTGCACATGTGAAATGTTTTTGGTAGGTGAACCACTTGCAGAAAAGTTTTAGTTGAAACATTTGGGAAACACTACTCACGTGACATGCCCCCTTTAAGGTGTCTTGTACCATATGCATCTAGACTACAGGTACAACCGTGAGTCTGTACACAAAATAAAGAGTTTCTCACCTTCTTCCAGATTGCAAAAATAGAGCCGATGGACACCAAGCAGTCAATGTTGGATGACCCGTCTAGCGGGTCAAAGGCCACGATGTACTTGCCGGCCCGATCGGGGTCAACCACAATCATGTCTTCGTCCTCCTCTGAGATCAGGGCGCAGGCAGTGAAGGAGGACTTGAGGGCGTTGATGAAGAGATCATTGGATAGAACGTCCAGTTTCTTCTGTTCGTCGCCAGTCACGTTGGTAGAGCCAGCTATGCCGAAGCTGCAGTAAAAGGTTAAACAAAAAAATACCTCATTGGGTTTTTAAAAAGTTGTAGGGTGAATAAAAGTATCAAATGAGTTTTGAACCATGTAAAAAATAAAAAATTGTTTCTCATCTGCCATTTTTGAATAAAGGGAGGAGGTCACTTTTATGCTTTTTCTTTAAAGATGGTGAAGTTTTATCATGGCCACTGAACTCCTCCAAAATCCTCACTGTGCCAAGGAGGGGCCGAGATAACACTTGATTGCCTCTGCATTAAAAACTCCATATTCAGACCGTTTGTAATTACTCTGGGTGCAAACCAGTGACTGCAGTGCGTTGGCCACACTCCACACTGGCCACACGTATAAAACTCTTATCCGCACAGAGCCCAGTGATCTCCACTGTGTGAGATCTGTTAAAAGACGTGAAACTCAAAAGTGCAAGTGAAGGAATAGGAACGGTTAGCCCAGAGGCAGATTTTACTGTCCCCTACCTCTACCTTTTGAATTCCAAAAGTCAACCAATTCTTCATGCACAACCCTGGCCAAGCCACACACATACCCTGAGACTCACACAACTAAAACAGTCAAATGATCTCTACCTTGTAAAAGGTCACGAACATTTCAAAATTTCATATGGGGATACGGGGGGAGGGGGGTAGTCCAGACCCTGAGGACCATCAAAAGGCCAACCCAGGACCTCAAGTTACAAGCTGTTTGAATGCGCTGCTGTAATTCATTCCTTTGTCTCTGGTCACTTATTACTTGTGAATGATCTTGTGATTGAGCCTTTTGGATGGCACACTGAGTTATCTCACTGAACATACACACAATTTGAATTTCCCAGACTAAAGATGCTGTTGCTATACTTCGTGATTCCGGGCAAGCTTTTGCATTGCAACCACCATCTCTAGTCTTGAATGGACTGGTTCCTTTGTGCCCTTCTTATCCATTGAAAATAGTGCATTGGTGTAAGGTGTCTCTTGTGTAACTAAGCAAAAGCTGTCTTGTGATGGTCTCAACAGATGCCCACTACACATGTTAGTTACATCACTGTACTCACAGTTTGGAGATGCCAGCTTTTCTGACGGCGGAAGAGATGGCCTTGATGGCAGTCATGAGAGAGTTAAGGAGCTGTGTCAGCTCACCTGTCGCCCCTTCACACCGAGACTGCTCCTCCAACATGAAGCGGGTCATCGTCATGAAATCCGTCTGCAGTTCTTCGGAGCCCATGGTGGCAAAAATGGACAAGCTGGGCCTCTGACACAATGGGAAAGCAACATCTGCAAGAAAATGGGAAATCGATTCCATTTTGACAGAAATTACACCAGACTCCTCGAACTCGAAGGGTTGAGCGCTATTAACATGAAAAGATGAAAAGTGAAATTTGATCTCAATTTACAGCATCAATTGATGCCTCCAACTCAAGAACTCATCCTCCTTCTGTGGACATCTTTAGGAATGACTTGGTCACAACGGAGCAACGGTGGTCATGGAACCTTCTGTGCACTGCAAGTCTAAATCAGCATGAAATACCTGTCTACTGAAAAGAAAAAATCATTACCTCCGAGTAGCGACATCATCACAAAGTCGGTCATCGTTTGAATGTGAATTTCATACCACTGCCAAGAATAAATTGTGAAGGTGCAACAAGGCCTAACACACTATGGCTTTGCAAGTGGTAAGTCCGTATCACATCTATTCTGAAATTTGTGAAACTAACAAAGAAATCCCACAGCTAAATTCTAACGCTATGGATGAAATGAAATAAGAACTGTTGTATCATTCCAAAGATGGTTGTCTTGGAAAGAGTTCCATACATAGGGCCTGTTCATTTCACGTGGATCGGTATCACGATCGGTGATCCGTCATTGGTTCACTGACACCGAAACCTGCCTAACTGGACAGAACGAACCAGCAATGGGATCATTGATCGAGATCCAGACCTACGTGAAACAAACTGATCCACAGATATCACTTGACGCCACGCGCACAAACCCTATGAGACTGGCCTAACAAATTCCAAGTATTTCTTTTAAGTAAAAGCTTCAATATTTCCTTGCTAAACTTGACTTTGTAGCATTTTCTGAACAATAACTTCAATTTTTGATGTATATTTCTACCTGTATAACTCTAAGAACTTCTTATTTCCGGTATTTGCCCTAATTACAAGTTTTCTAGATGCATTACTCATTCCTTTTCCTTGTACAAGCGCACACCCAGCCTATACACCCACACGGATGTACTGTACACCATGCGCATATTGTTTACGCCTACAGAGTATGTGACCTTGCTAAGCCCACATGCGTACCCAAGTTATGCTGTCATTGACTTATAAAGGTTTCTCAGTGTTTTAGAAGTTATCAGGATTACTATTCTAAGAGGTTACTCATTCAGTTGTCATCATTCTGAGAATCAAATCCAGATGCATAACTTAGACTTCCTTTCTGAAGTTTTTTCACTTCAACTACATCCTATTTTTAACTGTACATGTACATAAGCCCTGTCTCATGGATGATTCGACATTACTTACTTTTAATAGTTCAACAGTATTCACTGTACATGCACTTTACAGTATCCTGCTCTACTCCATTAGCAGTTCATTGTAACCTCCTCAGTCGTGGTTATTGAATAAAGTCATGGTAAAACACACTGCTAAGATTTGTGTTCCGACTGTTTTCACAACTAGAAGTTCTCATTCCTTCCTACGTCTTACGACGTTATCACTTTCTGAGGGCTAGTAAACCACTGTTAAGGGAAATGTGATGTCTGTATGGAACTTTGTTATCTCAGAACAGCACCCCATTGGAAAGGAAAGGGACAGGGGTTACCTCAGCCAATGAAAACATCCTGTTTCGGGCTATTCAGTGCTATACAGAAATGCACTGAAATTGCCAGATGTCTGACCAAGAAAATGTTCGGTCATGTAGGGACTTGCACTAAAGACTTTAAGTCAGATATCAGGCAGAGAAACGGAAGCGAGTGGGATGAGAAACTGGCTTATATTTTACAACATAAAGCACATTCAAAGAACACCATCAATATTAAATGCCTAAACCGCAAATGAGAGTGCATAAAAATGCATGCTTGCTGAATAGCGCATGCCTTGCTCAACGCCTGGAAATGCTAAAGAACATTGTCGCAAGGAATTCAAAGTTATATCATTCATGCTTTTAACCTAGGCATAACAAACAATTTTGCACGACCAGCAACTTTGCACATAGTGGTACCTAGCCAGACATGCCAGGAAGGGCAACATTAACTTGTTTCTAGTTCTTAAGTTACAAGCACACTAGCCCAGGTTGGTACCAGTCTTCATTACGTAATGGACATGTATGTAGCGCCTAGCCCAGGTTGGTACCAGTCTTCATTACGTAATGGATTGTATGTAGCACAGCCAGGGAGGCAAGGCAAACCACAAACCTGGAGAAGAAAAAAATGCACCAGATCTACAGGCAAACTAAATGCTAGCCTAGCTAGCAATGTTATGTAGGCAACAGTGGGCAGGCCTTACGGGCGGAATCGTTGGTTCTTGCTCAACAATCCGACTGATCAGTGATCAGTCAGTGATCATCATGAAGTAGGGCGGCTTCTAGACCTGTAATCAGGGCGCTTCGAATATGGAGCAATCCTTTTAAAGAGCTCCTGGTAGTGGTAGGCATACACTCATCGCTGACGAAGGAGCATGCGTAGCGTGGGGCCCTGTTTACGGGTGGCTTTTAACAGCAAAATGCTTGTGGCCGGGCCTCGCTCGGCGTCAGCACGCCCCGTGCGTGCTGGACATCCACTACTAGTACTAGGCCTCGATGGAGTTTGCAAACGTTAGCACAGTGACAGTTCTAGAGCCCACAGATCAGTGTCATTCTCCACCCTTTGGGCCCTAGGCCTACTTACCAACTGAAAATCGACCTTTTTAGCAGCCCACGCACCCTTCTTTTCGTCGTTGCATTACATGCACTGCACTGTGTGCCAAATAGGTCGACTCCAGGAACTTCGCTTCCGCATCAGTTCCCATATGCCCAGTGCGTGGTTTTTAACGGTGCACGGTGGTGAAGGCCACACGCAGCGCGGGAAGTGGTGTAACCAGTGAAGCATAGCAAACGGTCAACGGAATGGGTGTGACGCGCAGTCGTATCTCGCGTGCATTAAATACGGGAGAAACTCAGTGAAGCTCTTAATGCCGTCTTAACAGCTACCAGAAAAGTGAGTCTTCCTCAGAGGGAGAAAATCCAGGGGGGGGGTATATATCCCCCACACACTTTTGGGCTAGTAAATTATCCCCCACCCCACTTTTTTGTGATAAGCAAAAAAAAACTGAAGGTGATTTTGAAGAATTTTTAGAATTTCCCAACGACTAAAAATGTGTTGCAACTGCCACTCTCTCCTGTGAACGGTTGATCCATCACTGGCTTGACAGGTCTGCCCGAAAAAGCGAAGCAGGAAAATGGCGAAATAAACTCAAAAGAAACGAACAATACCTATAGTTGCGGGAATTTCTACAACAGAACATGACATCGAAATTACAATGAATGTCAAATCGGTAAAGCTTTTAGCTTCACCCCATTGTTGTCACAAAAGGTGCATAGCCAATCCCCCCCCCTCCCACGGTAACCCACGTTATATTTTAATTGTGATCTGACTGAAACTTATAATGTTGTCATTTTAGTTAATCCGTGCCTCATTGGCCATAAGTTTAATATCGGAATTCGGAGTTACAAAATGGCACGGCAAAAAGTCACAATTACATAGTGAAGTATGTCCCTTTTCGAACTCAAGTAAAAAACTGGCAAAGGTACTGACCATTCAACATTTCCCTATAGTTGCTGTGCATGAAAACAGCATGATGGACAACGTAAGTTGTTTCTGTACCAAAATGAGCCCTTCAAATTAATGAAACACATCCATTTTTATGGTGTATCGTCTACGATGCACTCCTGCAAAACAGTTTTGACTTTATACGCACAATAGTAATGGATAATTATGTTGCTTTTTATTGTACAATTTGCCCCAAATATATGTCTATACTTAACAGTTGGCTGTTATTTTAGTTTTCAACAAACAACCCCAGAAAAAAAAAACACACACGTGAAACGGCACTGTAGACACAGTGTTTGGTCTATGCGCCGGGATCTGCGCTCATGCTGGACGTGACATCATCATGATGGAGCGGGGAAGTGGAGGTGGAGGCTGGAGAGCATCTGGCTATTGCCAAGTGTCTCAACAGTTTGTCCTGTGTCTGTGCGCGCGTTGAAGATAGCTGGAGGGCGGTATGCCAACTTAACGGTGTTTCTCCGACATTGCTTGGCATTCATTGCGTCCGTGCGTAAGTGTGCACTGTCCCAATTCAAGGAAAATGCCCTTGAAATTCGCTTAAAAGGTACCCCAGCAGCTTCAGTTTCTTTCAAAAGAGAAGTTTGTGTGGACCAAGAACTTGTGGAATTGTGTAAGTATGGCTTAGGATCATCTCTATAGATTCAGGGGCTCCCATCTGGCGGCAAAGCGGACAAAAGTGTTATCAAAAATTGTCAGAAGAGCCGCCGAAAGTTGAGGAATGTCATTTGAAAAATGGCAGCTGAGAAGACTTGGGCACCCTGACTTTTTTCGGGGGGGGCGGGGAATTTGTTTTTGGCGGATAATTAAAAGTTAATTGATTAATCTACACTAAAATATGAAAGGCAAATGAAGTCCGAAGGACCAAACAACACATTTTTTTGTTTTTTTTGAGAGGCCTCAGAAACTTCGGTCGTCCGCTAAACCCAATCGGAAAGAAAGGCTGAAGTGAGGGCAGTATGCCAACATAACGGTATGGCTTCTCTGCATTGCTAGGTATCCGATGTGAGCTGTGCGGGCATTTGAGAAAGTTGCAGTGGAGTGAGGGCGGTATCAATGTCTCTCCGACATTGCCAGGCGTTCATTGTGTTCGTGGGTTTGTTTCTGCATTCAATTGGGGACCCTGAACAATAGAGGACAATAAGGTCCCCGATTGACAGAGGGTCCCCGATTGATAACTGTGTGCAAAACATATGGGTGGTCTTCTAAAAAAGTACAAACAAAAGAGGAACAATAGGGGGTCCCCAGTTGCAGGCAAATACACACTTAACCCACAAAAAATTGAAAAGAAATTGAAAGATTATTGACCAGACAAGAATTTCATTTGTGTTTCAGAAATCTCAGGGATGTTGGCGTGCATATTATTGGGCCCTGAACGGTGCTGGTTTTACACTCTTTTCAATGGGGCTTGAATAAACGGACTGTTCCCTTGTGCACTATTTTTCCACACTTCCATTATACCATCAAATCATATTCACGTGATTCCTTCCAATTATTGTCAGTACAATTATTGTACTCGGGATGTTATGGTTTCATTGTGTCTGTTGTCTTCTTGTTAAGTTTGTCCTTAACAAGCATCAGAAAACATTTGTAAGAAACTATAAAGAAGTGTTTCAAATCATTAATTGTTTGAAATGAATAGGGAAAGTTCAATAAACAGTAATTTAAATTTATCTCGTTAAAAATGTAATAATGAAACAGTAGCCTTGCATTTGGTTTTCAGACATTTTATTAAATAAAAAGTCACTAATACTTTCCAAAAGAAAATTTTACAAAAACTTTCTATTCACATTGTGGAATAATAATTATTATTAGAAGAAAAAAAATGGTCCTTCCACTATGTACAATGATCCAGCCTCGTTCAAAACAACTGAAATTACAGGAGAAAATTAAATCCACATGTATAAATTTAACAAACTGTGCTTATAGATCTTTATACAAACCACAAACCTGTATGTTATTATTATCATGGAGACATCAAGTTTTTTTTTGGCAGAGAAGAGAAAAAGTCCAACATTTTTATTACCAGTTAGTGTAACATTCCAGAAGCATAAAGAGTTAATTCATGCATGAAATAAATGAATTTGTAACGGTGAAATAAAACACTAGCTAACTTTATAAGGTCATTATTCAAAACCAGTCGTGTACCCCGTACATTATGGAACCTTGTGTTTGATTTTGGAGGAAATGTGTTACCTCACTAAAACTAGTACATTTTTGCTTTCAATCAAACTTGTATTGCTACTCTAGGATTGTAAAAAGTCCAAAATCAACAAAAGAGAGTTTGCTGTTGTTGCGGTACTCAAAGACCCGAACCGTTTGGGTCATCAGAGACGGCGTATGCCGTCATTTCTCACGGTTCCCTGGCAAGCATCACAAGTTAATTAGTGCGACATATCATCTACTAGCTTGGTCTAGTGGCCAGACGTAACACGTGCGTCTATGCGAAGTGGCTACAGTCACTAGTCTATAGATTTCAGTCTCGAGATTTTTAACGGTCAGCATTCAATTTACTGAGATAGCGTACATGAAATTGCCAATAGAAATGCCAAGATTCGAAATTGCTCGCGCCACTACTGACATGGTGTGCTTCCTGAAATGCCTTTGCCAGTCATGTTACGTCATGTGAAAAACCTCTAGCTCAATATAGATGCACGTGTTACTAGTATAGTCAAATCCGACGACACGCCATTCCGAGGGGCCATTTACACCGAGTTTTCTCTGGGTGAGCGTGCGCATGCACTTCTGCAATTGACTACTGCCAATTGGTCAAGGAGGAATTGCACACCCGCATCGCCTGCGTGCGAACAGGATGGCCCCCGTAGTAATGGCTTCTAATTTTGGTCGTCGACTTTGTCCAAGTCTCAACCTTGATATTTAGATGCAGTCTAAGTCGATCGTGCAACTAGTTTCCAAGTGGCCTCGTTTGAAAGTATGGGCGGCAACAATCATTTGAGCCAACTTTTTTTAACAGAAACTAGGCCCGCCTATACAGAACTGAACAGATACTAACAGAAAGAAGCCTCTTACCGGAGAGTATTGGATTGGTACCCGTTTCGGGCCCATTGTATGACCAGTTGGCCAATCCTATTCCTAGTCACTCCGTCTGTGTACTGTGATGTGGCTTCTATTGACATTCCATTCAGTGTCTCAGGTTCGAATCTTACCGGGGCTCGCTGGCGTGGATTGAGCTTCCAGTCCTCACCTTATCCTTTGTTTTGCTGTAGATAGTTATAGCTCTTGAACAATTCAGGCTAAATCACAATGACAAATGTATATGATACAGTATACTCTAATCCCATTACACCAGAAATAAATAAACAACGGTACACGAAAAAGAGCAAGAAATAAACCATCTATCTGGTCGTCTAAGTCTAAAAAAACCTGGATGAGACAACACCGCATTAAAAACTGACAGCCACAGATGAATACTTTTTAGAGAGCACTTTTCATATCATATTCTTTTGACGCAGTTTGATTCATTTGTGCACTGCCATCTCCATCAGCCCAGCAAAGATTGTCCTAACTTTGTTTTCCATAATATTGCGATAAGACCCGCAAATCAATAATAAAACCATCCAATACGGCCGTTTCACAACAGTGCGCCACTGTCGACCAAATGCGCGTTTGAAAAGAGTCGACAGATTTTGCACGTTGTAATTGGCCAACGCGATGCAAACTCTTGGTGGCGCACTATTGTGAATCGCCCGAATTGACACCACAGACATATAAACAAATAGACCACCAATCTTGCGCGTATAACCGTGGGCGAAATAAATGGCAGAGTGCTCAGTGCGAATTGCGCGTGACGCACTTAGATTTCATGTATTTGTTTACATGTGCTCTGAAAAGACGCTCCCTTTTTTTTTACTCTGTACTGCTCTGTCTTATTTTCAAATGTTGCAACCACAATGTTTCGAATCTTCATGGGCCAGATTAAGTAAACAGAGGATTGTTTTCACAATCGGAATATGGCTTCATAGCATTTTATGACTGGAATTCTTTACCTGTGTTTAAATTCCCTTTATTGATGGGTGAATTTGCCCACGCTTTTGGATTTAATCGGGTGCTGTCTCGGCTACGGTACCCCTCTGTTGTTTTGAAAAGGAGTTGTCCGTCTGTGGTTTATGTCTGTGATTGACACCAATCGTAGAGCTGGCTTTTCTACCAACATTTTAAGAGGTATGAAATGAACATCTGCTGCAAGTATAGCGATAGAAAAGACACGAAGTGATGCCAAATTTCAAGCAGTAAGATTTGACAAATTTCACTTCGGGCAACAGAATTTGTGCTTAAGTTGGTGGTGGTTCCCCAGTTGGAGCATAATAAATGACCACGAGACATGCTGTGTGGTCCAAAAGCCCAAAATTCATTTTTACGCAAAGAGTGAAATCTTTATCCTAATTAAAACTTGCCCAAGACTTGCGGTTATAAGTAGGCATATTGGACTCATTCTTGAAATGAAGAACGACAGGTAACTCATCCACAACATCCTTCATCGCAATATATGTACAATGTACTGTAGAAGATATTCATCATAATAGGTTCTTCGGTGGTTGTAAATTATTGAATTTCAAGAAACATACTACATAATCAGCCGATGTATCACATGTGTATTGCATACTCCCACTTTTAATATAAATCGGTCAGGCGCAGGCTCTGTTCATTCGTTCTCCAGTTTACATAGGAAGTGGCAGTTGAAAGAGCCCTCGAAGGGTGAGGGGAAGGTCTCCACCTTGAAGCCTCCGCTCCGTAGAGTTTCCTCCGCCCTCTCGCGGCCCCACATGTTTCCAAGCCCTTCCCCACCGGCGTGCAGCTGCACCGTCATGCAGTGGAACATGCTGTTGGTGTAGAAGGTGGAGGCGAAAGGCATGTTCATGTTGTCGGCGATTGCTGATCTGGCGTTGACCTCCAGCACGGACATGCGGCCGCCGGGGGCCAGGACCTTGCGCACCCGCTCCAGGATCTTCTCCGGTCGGGCCATGTCGTGGATGGAGTCCCAGGCCAGGACGTAGTGGAAGCGGCCCTCCCAGTCGTCTGGGATATCGTGGGCGTCCATCTCCACGAAGTGGACGTTGCCGGTCAGCTGTTGGGCGGTCGCGGCTTTCTTGGCCTCCGCCACGGCGTGGCTGCAGAGATCCACCCCCACGATCGAGCTCTGCGGGAAAGCCTTGCCCAGGATCAAGCTGGCTCCGCCCTCACCGCAGCCCAAGTCAAGTACTGAAATACCCGTCTCTGATGAACGAAATAGGAGAAAAATGATAGCATAGCACTTTTAGGCAGAGAAACGGCTCTGACACTAGGCCGATTCCAAATAAAAATTTGCTCACACTTCGCTGTTCGTTGGCTCAATCTTATTTTTAACAGCGATGAGCAACAGAAAGACATTGTCAAGCACATCAGGCCTATTGACGCATTTTTCTGATATGTGACCTTGGTTTGTGCATATGGCTAGAGAGAAGCAAAGGTCAGCATCAACTCAAACTTCGCAGGTCAAGTGTGTAAAGTTGCCAATAATTAACGTAAAGATTTAGAGTTTACAAACGACCCGCACAATGTTACCATATAGGAATGGGCATTCTGGCCTGTTTGTATCGTTGGGAAAAATATACCGACTTACCTAACATGTCTTTGAGTCCAGGTATCGATGGAATGAATGTGGAGACGAGATGACGATCCCACCAGATCAACGAACAGGCGTTCATAAATCGATGGAAGTCACCAAAATGCTCATAGGAAATACCTGGCAACACACAATTAACATGATCAGGTTATGTTTCCCCAGCAAATCAGCTTTTCGAATTTTTGAATCACAAATGGCAAGGACTTTAATACAGAAGATGGGGCAACTATAAAACCCGTTTGTGCCGTGCGTTAGGCGCCCACATGGATCCTTAATAGATGTGTATCGTTTGTACTCGGTTCCAACCTATAGTTTCTGCCTAAGCACATAAATTTGTGAAGCAGTATTTTTCGCTTGGAATGAATGTGACTGTGTGACTTTGCACCCTGGAAACACTCGAAGTTGTCTGTCATATGACCCTTTAAAAGAGTTTATTCTGTCTCTGCACTACAGTCATTTTTTTACTACTGAAAGAAACCACTAAAAAGGGCGCAAACTTCGCTGAGAAAGACTCTAAAAAACCCCGAAAAATCCACTAGTAAGTATATATTTGCACGGTGTAGAGTATGCCAGAGTATGCAGTTTTTCCATGTCATAATGAATATTTGAGAGATATCTAGATTCGGTTGCCGCCACGGTATAACGTGCCCAAATTCGTCCCGTTTCCGAAAATTTCCGAAACTATTAAATTTCGGAATCCATTTCGTTGATTTTCGGATAGTGTCGTTAATATCCGCAAATATCGGGTGCGCGTTGTCTCTTTTGCAGCTTCCCAAACAAGCATCAAATCTCGAAAAAAGTTCAATTTTTCTTTGGTATCTGTTGCAAAACGAGCTCTACGTTTGTTCAACTTTAATTTTGCTGACTATTTAGAAACAAGTAACAGACGTCCACGCGCTGTATCCAAAATTAGAAGGGGGCAGATAGGTCATATAAGGCATTTTTGGTGAACCCCGAATACCGGTGTCTGCTGTGATATTATTCACACGGCAGGGAGCCAGTCTAGGAATGAATGTATAAAACATGGCACTGATCGTTTTAGGGTCGGTCTGGCTACACTCATCATCACCGCTGGGAGGGTAGGCCTAGTTAACTGAGCTCACAAACTTTGCACTTGCATTTGTACACGTTAATGAAAACCATGCAATACTAACCTCTCGGGCCATCTCGCTTAAAGCTGTCGATGATGTAGTTGAAAACCTTGCCTTGCATGGGCAGAGCGGCCGCGAGGATAGTCAGCTCGTAGCCCAGCCCCGGGGTAGTCAGGAAGATGGCTCGATGGGGTGGCAGGAAGAACCGCTTCCCGCTGGCATCCATGTTGACGATGCGCCCGGTCGTCATGGCCCCGAGCCATTCCCGCACGTACCTACAAGAAAAGCCAAAAAGAGGAGATCCAAAATGTCAACAGCTCTCACTTTATCAAATTTGCCCGTTGGTCCGAGAGGGGCGCGCTCCTTAGCTGTTGGAATTGCAGCCTGGAATTGAAGCAGTTAAACATTGAAATAAGCCCTTAATTGGTTTTTCGGTTGCCTGGTAATTCTGTTAAATCGAGTAGACACTCTGTTGGTACCGAAGAGCTGACGTGGAGCGATCACGCAGGCTGAAACTTTGTCGATCGTCCTTTTATTCCTTATCACATGGACTTCAAGGAGGCTTTTGAGAGTGAGTTTCGGCATGTTTTATTTATTACAGGATGGGAGAAGAGCTTGAGTGCGAGACTAAGATATAAAGCTGTGCGTGGTAAATAGATTTGTCCTGCTGCCTTTTGCCAACCTGTACGTACGACTTGGATTCGTATGTACAACTTGTAACTCATATATACGAGTTAAAGTCCATAAGAATGAATTTTAACAGCAGCGAGAGGGATTTTTACCATATCCCTAATACAGCTTCGTATACGGTGGATAACCAACAAGTAAAAACAAAATACGTACTCCTATTTGGCTGCCTAGACCTAGATTCCCTTTTAAGGTTGTACATATACAAACCTGTCAAACTAGAAGGGGCTAAATACAGTTCGATATTCCTAAAGCAAGACGTGGACTCATCCAAACAGAGCCAAAATCTTCCAAGTCGGGGACACCGAAGACAAAACTGAGCTGACGCCTTAGTTTTGTCTGTTTTGTTTATTCTTCAACAAGAATTTTTTTTGGGGGGGTGGGAACTAGATGAAACTAGAAAAATAAGGAAAAAGTAAGTAAATTCCACACAGTTGTACAGGCGGTCACGCCCGTTCCTGCTATGTGGTCCATAAGGGCTCATGCTTCCTCATTGCCCAATCTAATTGAGGGAAATAATTGGTAAAAGACAGACCACCTTCAGATGGCTATCGAGTGAAACACACTCTACGACCGACCATACAGCGTGAAAACACTACCATTTCGCTCGGTTAACCTCATTCAGCCTTAGTTTACAAGTAATTTGATAACCATAATAAGAGAGACATTTTTAGAATCAAAAAGGAAAAAAAACTCTTTACTATTCCCAGCACATGTGTTGACGGGGGATCTTTGGTTTAGCATTCTCAGTCCTGGCCACGGAGATCGGTTACACCTTGCAGTACCGGAGAATCATTTTACCGAGTAAATTCATTTTGTTCTGCTCAATCGGTCGCTTATATTCGGCAAAAATGCCCAGTATAGATTTACTTTGCAGCGTGGCATAACACTTAGTTTTTGGACGGTGATTACCGGATCGATGGAAGACGCCCGGGTGAAAATACGACCGCCGGACGAACTCTACTCGTCGGCAAACACAAGGTGATTGATTTCCACTTTTTGGGGGGGGGACAGGTTTTCACATGAGCAACCCTTTGTTGCCAAGAATACCCCTCGATTTTTTCACAGCTACCTCCCTGGCTACAACAATGGTAAGCAACGTGCGCATATGCAGAAATCTCAGCTCGATGAAAACGTTGAAAAAGTTACTTAAGATGACCTTTCTTATGTGACCACAACAATAACTTCCAAAATAGAGCAACCGATATCAATTTTCTTATAAGAGGTAAAAGGTTGTATTTCCATTTTTTTTAATTTTCGGTTTGTCAAATGACACAACAGATCAACCGGTTGCACTACCTTGATTAGCGAGTTTGATTTAGCCATTAGAAATTTCTATGGCATGATAGCTTCTTTTAAGTATGCATAAAATCATTTCTAATTAAAAATAAACACAACACAATACCGTTTGCCATTCTGTATTCCTCATGCCTAATGCTGTCAAAAGCAGGCCAAATTCACCAGCCTTTATAAATGTTGCCTGCGTAAACGCCGAGAATGACTTCGTGTAGGCACAATATTCTCAAGTAAATACCCTTTTCCAAAGCTCCAACTCCAAGAAACGGGAGTGCTGCGCCCCCCAATCAATTCTGGTTGAAACACACCCCCAGAGTGGGGTCAAAAGCATTCACACACCCACATCCATAAACTGTGTGCAAAGTTAAAAATTTCATATTGACAGAAACAACACATCATTAAGACGATTATTGGCTTGATGAAAAAGAAATTTATTGTCGACCACTAAACCAGCCCGTGTATAGCGCATAAACTTGACCGAATCAAATAAGTCAACCGTGTTCTTAAGTAGCATAAAGGCGTAGAAGCGTGCACCTGCTCGTCAGCCCGAACAAAAATAACAAGCTGCCCGTGAAAAAAAAATTCAAGAAGTTGGAGGCGAAACACAATGTTGATCCGAGCTAATCAAGCATTCTGGAGTCAGTAAGGGTTTTAGACAGCCACGTATCGGCCTATTATCGGCAGTGCCGGGTGATGTATCATTCAACTCCGAACTACTGAACACAGAATAGCCCTCAGTGGCAAAGCTGGTGGCAAACAGCCAGGGAGGGTTTAGTCGGGTTGACACATAGCGTCGACAACAAACAAAAATGGAGATCTGCTCTTTTTTTCGGGGGGGGGGGTTATTGAAGGGCGATACGGTTGCTACCTGTTTACCGGAAGGAGTCCACCCAAGTTGAACGGACCGACAATTTAGGGACAAAAGCCCAGTTGCATGCCTTTTACGGCAAAATTTTATAACAAACATTCTGTGCGCATGCCCATGACGAGGGCAATATGGGCGGCCTTGAGTCTAAAGATGTCATAATAGAGTGGGGATAAAATGGGCCAATTTAGCAGTGGAGTGTGGCATTTCAACATCAGTTTGTAGTTGTTTACACCGGCAGTTATGAAATGTCAGCCTGACTCGACTCGGAAACAAGTGAATTAGGACAAAAGAAATAGCGTGACAATATATTCAGGAAATAAACTACAACAAAGAAGACGAAGCTATATAGTTGTGGACGCTGGCTGCTACACGGTGGGAAAATAGGGCTCAGTTCATGCTTAACTGTTAGTTTTTCTTCAAAAAAAAATTAGACATTTTCTTCTTAGAAGACGAAACTATATAGTTGTGGACGCTGGCTGCTACACTGTGGGGAAATAGGGCCCAGTTGATGCTTAACTGTTAGTTTTTCTTCAAAAAAAAATTAGACATTTTCTTCTTAGAAGACGAAACTATATAGTTGTACACGCTGGCTGCTACACTGTGGGGAAATGGGGCTCAGTTCATGCTTAACTGTTAGTTTTTCTTCAAAAAAAAATAACATTTTCTTCTTAGAAGACGAAACTACATAGTTGTGGACGCTGGCTGCTACACTGTGGGGAAATGGGGCTCAGTTCATGCTTAACTGTTAGTTTTTCTTAAAAAAAAAATTAGACATTTTCTTCTTAGAAGACGAAACTATATAGTTGTGGACGCTGGCTGCTACACTGTGGGGAAATAGGGCCCAGTTGCTGCTTAACTGTTAGTTTTTCTTCAAAAACGTAGACATTTTCTTCGAGCTATCTTGCTCAAAACGAGTTCGTGAGTCGTCACGTCTTTGGAAATCCAGGGGATTCTCTAAACACAAGTCAATTTGTCAGTTCGATTGGCACCACTCCCTCATGGTGTCATACACTGAACAAGGGAGCATGGGCGTCGCCAGAGGTTTTCGGGGGGGGACAATTTTCCCCGGGGGAATTCCACGGGTGAATAGCACTCATCAGCTAAAACAAAATAAACAGTGAACAGGAGGAGGGTCAACTTGTAGGTTTTTCAAGCATATTGGTAATTTCCATCCCCTTGCATCTCTCTTTTTTTCATTTCTTTCGCGAGCGCGATTCCAGCGCGATGCTCCTTTAAAGGAAGATAAATGCCCACGACCCCGAGTCAAAGTCATCACAAAAAGAGCCCAAAGCAGCTCTGCCTATATGCAATTCCTAAAGAGAGACTCCTCCATCGCCCTGCTACCATTAAAATAAAGCAAGACGCGTGGCTGGCCAAACACAGGAGCTAACTTAACAGGTGAACATTGACTACTTTTACAAAGGCATGGCACAGTCCCAGGAGCATTTTCTTAGACGGGCGGGATAACAGAAGGCCAGAAACGAATACAGGTTGGGATAGGGGCCACTGTGCATGCTTCCGTGGAGTAGTTCATTTGGATTATGTGGATTTCTCAAATAAAATTCACAGTCACCGTAAGCGGGGCAACATGAAACATCACACTTTAGTAGTCTCGAATAGCAACTTTGTTGGTCAGAAGGATATTCATAACTTATTACTTTCTTGAGAAAAATTACCCGAGGAAAATGAATTGGCCCACTGGACGTATTGGCTTGCTCTCCCATCAGTTGTCACCAGTCTCTCCATGACTCGGGACAAATTCGTCTCTATGTTGCTGTTTGTTTTCCCCCTTTTAAACCCCTGACGGCGTGGCCCAGTTTCTTCCAACCAAAGCCAAGGCCATCAGAATTTTGATCTGAGGTCTGGCTGGCGAGAATTGTCCTGTTCATACTTCAATCCCCCTCGGCTAGGCTTAAGAAAATTCTCCACTCTCTCTCTCTCTCTCTCTCTCTCTCTCTCTCTGTTTTTTTTTTTTTTTTGCTAGAAATCGCTCCTCAAAAGCCGCTTTCCCGACACTCGGGTTTTTCATTGTTGTTATTTTGCCTCCTTTCTTTCGAAGGGAGTGCGGTGGAAAAGAAAAGAAAAGGAAAGGAAAGAGAAAAAAATTCCGCAAACCCCTTTTGTCGAAGTTGGAAATAATACCATCATGAGGCTTAGCAGTTTGGGGAGATCGAGTGCGGATGTTGAGCGCGAGATTGATGGGGGTCTTAACAGCCGTGCCAATTGGCGGGCGATATATTAATGAGAGAATGTCCCCCGGCAATAGTAAGCATTCACTAGCGGGGCACACAGCCAGCGCGCGGGGGGAAATGCTATTCACAAGCCCCCGCCACCACTTCCAACCATAGCCATACTATATTCTCCCGACACAAAGTATTCGGTCTAAGCTGATTACGGCAGGCCAGGGGCTGTTGATGACAAGTT